GGGGGGTTGTGGTCTAGAGGCCTTTGGGCTTTTGGCTCAGATTTCTTGGGGATGGGCTTCTAATAGCAATAAAACACTTGGTCCTGGTTCTTGAAATGCCATGTTCTGGTCCTGTGCCAAGCATTTTATTTATCTACTTAGCTATTTATTTATGTTTTTTTGAGATGGGTTCTTGCTATGTAGCCCAGGCTGGCCTCGAACTTTCGGTAATCCTCCTGCCTCAGCCTCTTGAGTGCTGGGATCATGGCAGGCTTTGCGTCAAGCATTTGTGTATGTGTGTGTGCGCGTGAGTGTGTGTGTGCGTGTGTGCGTGTGTGTGTGAAACATTTTAAATGCATCATTTCATTCAATCCTCACAACAATCACAATAACATTAGCTAGCTAATATTTGTATGACATTTTAACTAGGCACCAGACACTCTTCTCAGCATTTTCCATAAACTATTACCTACTTAGCAAGGTAGCTACTGTTATCTGTTTTACAGACGAGGAAACAGATACCGAGAGGCTGCTCAACTTGCTCAAGGTTGCAGAGTGGGGCAGGGTATGCATGGAGGGCTGAGTCCTGGACCTGGGCTCCCCCTCCAAATCCTGCCCACTGCGCCTGTGCTGGGTGAAGGCATCTGAGTCAGGGAGGGCAGCAGCGTGAATATGGAAGAGCCACCAGGACCTGTGTCCTCAGTGTTTCCTGAGGATGGGATGCTGTTGGGTGGCAGTGTCCCCTCCCTGCAGGCCCTGGGGCCAAGAGCGAGTGGATGGCCCCGAACCTCCCACGTGGGATGGCACGGGAGACTGGAGCTCTGGCTTTCAAAAAGGGAGACAGAATGAGGTCCCCCTCCTTGGTGACAAAGAAGGGGCCCTGGAGGGGAACAGATGGGCCACAGCGTCCAAGGATCAGTGGAGTGCCGGGGACAGAGAGCAATGGCTTGGAACAGCCCTCGGGACACTGAGGCACAGGGGCATTGGAGAAGCACAGAACTTCTGTGTGCTGACAAACTCAGAGCCCCTGGTGGCCTCCTCCAGCCCCCGTGGGCTGCTCCATCCTAAGCACCTGCTCATGTGGGCCACCATGCCTGTCCCAGCTTCTCTGTCCTTTCTGCAGTCTCTGCCCCCAGGATCCTGGCCTTTCCAAAGGTTCTGTCCTCTGCTCTCCTCCAGCTGCACAATGCCCCTGGGCTGATCTGAGGCCTGGGATAGCTCCCACTTGCTCACCATGTCCTAAGTCCCAGCTTCTCCCAGGGCTCTGGCCTGAGCCAGGGCATGGCCTCCTGAGATGCCCCAGCATTTGCCCCCGGGTTAGACATGAAGTTAGATCAGGACATAAGGTCACCACCAGCCTCCTCCCTGGTCCCTCCGAAGCTCCAGGCTCCAGAGAAATGCAGCTATGTGCAGTCTCATTGAGTGGCACCTTCCACCTCTGGAGCCCTTGAGGGAGACACCTGTGCACCTGACACTTGGTCCCTGCAGCTCCAGCTCCCTTCCAAGAGGCCCCTGACTCCCAGGCCAGGCTGCCACATCCTCTGCACTGACTGTGGCCACTCAGGAGCTTCCGACTCCACCTCCATCTCCCTCTGGGACCGAGACTCCCTGAGGACAGGATGCTTAGGTCCATGCTGTGTCCCCAGGACCTAATCCAGAGGCAAACTCAGGCTGAGCGCTCACTGCAGAAGAGCAGGAGCTGGAATGGTGTGCATACTTGTAATCTCAGCACTCTGGGAGGCTGAGGCAGGAGGACTGTAAGTTTGAGGCCAGCCTGGGCTACTTAGCAAGACCCTGTGTCAAGGGCCGGGGATTTAGCTCAGTGGTTCTGCCACCTGTCTCGAAAGTGCAAGGTCCTGAGTTTGATCCCCAGTACCAAAAAAACCAAACCAAAACAAAAGACCCTATGTCAAAAGCAAAAATTAAAAAAAGGGCTGGGGATGTAGCTCAATGTAAAGGCCCTGGGTGCAATCACTAGTGCTGCTGGAGAAAAGGGGGAGGAGAAGGGAAAGGAGGAGGAAGAGGAGGAGGAGGTGAAAAGGAAGAGGAGGAAGAAGGGGGGAGAGCAAAGGGGAGAGAGGAAGAAGAGGAGGGAGGGGAGGAGAGGGATGAGGGGAGGAAGCAGAGCGGGCTGGAGGGCCTGGGGTGGCCTTCAGACAGATGCCCAGGTCCAGAATTCCTGAGAAAGGGCTGGGCTGGAGACAGACGTGAGTGGTAGCACAGCCAGTGACAAAAGCCAAGGGCGAGAGATCAAAGTCATCCCAAGAGAAGGGGGAGAGGACAGGAGAGCTGGGGCAGAGCCTGGGAAGGCAGCACCGGAGGGATCGTGGAGGAGGAGCTGGAGAAGTGGGTGGAGGGCAGGAGGCTGAGGAGGAAGGTGCTCTGATGACCTGCCCCCCTGGCAGTCGGGCCCCGGTGCTGTCCCATCCCCTGGAGCCTGGGCTGGCTCTGTGACATTTTGACTAACGCAGTAGAAGCAATGCCACAGGTTCCCAAGCCTGATTAGAGGTATACCATTCCACCTGTTTCCTCTCTCAAGCTTTTTCTCCCTTCCCCTTCTCCCTCCTCCTCTCCCCTCCCTTCTTTCTTGTGGTACTGGGGATCGAACCCTTTTGTACTATATCTCCATCCTTTTTTTTTGGAGATAAGGTCTTGCTAAGTCATTAAGTTATCCAGGCTGTGTTCCAACTTGAGACTCTCCTGCTTCAGCCTCCCAAATGCTGGACTACAGGTGTGTGCCACCATGTCTGGTTTCTACCTGGGTTTCTTGAAGCTCTAAGGGAAGTTGACTACCTTGCAGGAAGCCAGACTACAGACTGTCCTAAGACTGCCAAGCTGGGAGGGAGCCACAGGAAATGGCCACATGAAACTCAAGGACGTCCCAGCTGAGACCTCAGACCTGTAAGAAAGACATCATCTTGGACATCCAGACAGGGGACTCCAGCCCTGGCCTCTGTCTGACCACAGCTGCAAAAGGAACACCAAGAGAACCTCCCAGGCGAGCCTGCTTCACCCATAGGACCGGGAGTAATAATAGAAACTGTTATTCTGAGCTGTGAAGGTGGTGGCCATTGGCCACACAGCAGCTGATGGCTCAATTCCGACAGCCCCTGGGGAGGGACAGGATTGCCCCCATTTTAACAGATGGGAAAACACAGCCTGGACAGGGACGCCAGTCAGCAATGTCCCAGAGGTGGCTACAAGGAAGCAGCAGCTGGGGTAGGAGCTGGGAAGGCTGGCCTGGGCCAGACCCTGCAGCCACGTCATGTGGGCCAAATTCCATGTACAACTGAGGCGATGAAGTTTTCCCCTGGTAGTTACCTGGGCACCTGCTAGAACCCTGGCTTCTTTTTTGCCATGCTAGGGATTAAACTCAGGGCTTCGTGCTTGCTAGATGAGCGCTCTCCCACGGGCCTACATCCCCACCCCTGGCTGCTTTTGTTTGTGATAGTGGGAATTGGGGGATTAAACCCATGGCCTTTGTCCCGAGTTTGGTCCCTCGTTCTTTTCATGTTTTTATATTGAGACAGGGTCTTGCTAAGTTGCCCAGGTGGGACTTGAACTTTGGATCCTCCTGCCTCAGCTTCCCTCAGTGGTAGGATGACAGGCGTGTGCTACCGTAATCTGGCTGTTGAGGTCTTGTTTTTTAATGCGGAGTGCCCGATGACTTAGGACAGACAGGGAGCATATTTTCATGTTGGCCTGGTTTGTTCCTTTCTGCTCACTCAGGCAGGCCTGGGGACAGGGTGGGGGTGGGGAGGCCAGTGAGTCAGACGCTGCCACAGCCAGGTGTGAGATGCGCTGATGCAGCAATGGAGGCTGAGGATGGGAGCCAGGGTGGGGGTGCTCAGGCCCTGGCCTAGCTCTTGAGGGTGTGGTGCTGCCAACTGCAGACATCCCATCTCCCAGTGGCTTTGGGACACTACTCATCCAGGACAGGGAGTCCCGGAGCAGGCTGGATGGGTGGATGGCCGGGGAGCCTGGCTTCTCTCATTTGCAGGGCATGGCTGAGACAAGATGGCGCAGCATGAAAACTTCTGGCAATGCTTTCCCAAGGCCAAGAGGGGCCTCCCTCCCTTTCAAAACTAAAGAAGACCGGGGCCGGGGATTTAGCTCAGTGGTTTCACCGCCTGCTGCGCAAGCGCAAGGACCTGAGTTCGATCCCCAGTACAAAAAAAAAAGAAAAGTAAAGAAGACCTTGCAGATGGCCCTCTCCTCCCCACCCAGACTTCCTTTGCATCCCCCTGGCAGAACTGCAAGCCTTGCCCGCCCCTGAGCTTTACTTCCCAGTGCTGCGATGCCACTGCCCATGGTCTCTCCCAGCACATACCAGCAATGCTTGGGGTTTCTGCTGCTGCTCCCTCTGCTCACGATGCCCTTTGTGACTTTCCCATGTGGAAAATGCTATTTCAAAGCTGCTTCCAAAAGCAGCTGTAGCTGGGTGGGGGTTTCCTCAGAGTTCCCACAGCCTTTGAGACCCGACCCACTGTAGTATTTCTGTGGCTCGGCCCCACATGAGACCAAGACTGACACAGCCATGATGGGACATCCGTCCTGGGGGGCCTGGGATGGTCACATTGACTCCCCCCACCCAGCCCCATCCAGGCCTGGGAACAACCTCACAGGATTGGGGCTGGAAGAAAAACCCACCTGAGACTCCAGGGCAGGATGTGACCTGCCCGAGGCCATGGTCAAGGGCAGCCTCCATTCCCGCCCCCTTATTGAGGCCTGGGCTCAGGGCCTTGCTTCAAGACCTCTCAGAATGTGAGGTGGCCTGACTCACTGGGGACACGTAAAGAGGCACCTTCTGACTCACTAGATCAGGGTGGGCTGGACTCCCTGCTGCCACACAGGAATGTCGAAGTCCTTGCCCTGTGGAAGAACTGGATTCTCAGCCCTGTCCTTCTCAGAAGCCCACGGCCACCAGCAGCCACCAACATCAGGAAGGACAGGGTGTGAGCAGGAAGCCACCCTAAGAAACCCCAGTCTCCACATCCCACCTTGCCTGGCCATCCAGGACATCAGAGCCACAGGAATGTTTTATTAAGTTAAGAAGGTTCCCGGAGGAGGAGAGAGGCGCCTTCATGGGTGACGCCAGCGGTTCCATGCCCAGTGCCCCTCAGAGGGGACATGGAACTGCTGGCTCCCTCTGTCCCTCTGCCCCTCTGTCCAGAGCCACAGGGTGTGGGTTCACCCAGGGCAGAAAGTCGTTAGTAGGAGGCAGGGTGGGAGGAGGGGGCCGGCTTCCCACACCTCCTGGGCAGTGTCCACCGCCAGGGAAAACGCCCAGAAGCCCAAGCAGAGGCCGGAGACAGAGCAGAGCCAGTGTGGAGGCACAGGGCACCGAGTTTGCTTTTTTAAAAAGTATAAAATGGGCCGGAGATTTAGCTCAGTGGTTCCGGCGCTGGCCTCACAAGTGCAAGGTCCCAAGTTTGATCCCCGGTACCAAAAAAAAAAAAAAAAGTATAAAGTGTTTGGGAAAAAAAAAATCTATATAAAAATCTCTTCACATATAAAATCCTGAAGAAGGTGCAAGGTAAGACCCAGTGCGAGGGGCATACTCAGATATGCCGAGTGTTTTTGTGTGTGTGCACGTGTATGTATATGTGTATGATTGTGTGTACCTGTTTGTGTGTGTGTGGCAGGTGCATATGCGCCCGCGGACCACAGACGGTGGGAGGAAGCTTGGCGTTTGACTTCCATCCATCAGGGAAGGCCACTGGTCCCCTTGGGCTGGAGGGTCTGCAGCTGGCTGGACCTGGAGGACCTGGGAGATGAGGATGGATGCTGAGGGCTGAGGAGGCTGCCCAGCAAGGAGCTGAGCAGGTCCCTCCCTGCCACTGGCCTGGGCTGCTCCTCCCAGTACAAAGATACAGAGCACCGGAAGCCACTTTCGGGACAGATGTGGGTGGGTCCAGGCCTCCTGGCATCCGAGGCGCCCACCTCTATTCCGCCAGGCTGTTGCGCATGGCCTCCTTCTCCTGCAGGGCGGCCATGGCAAGGCGCAGGTGCTCCTTCAGCTGCTCGATCTCCTGCTCGGACCGAGTCTTGATGTGATTCAGCTCCACATATACATCCTGGTACTTTCCCGAGGTGAAGCGCTTGTCCTGGAGGGTGAGGAGGGGGTGACCATGTCTTCTCTGCCCCCTGCTGGCCAGCACAGAGCGGCTCAGCCCTCCGAAGCCCCCAGCCCTGGGCCTATCCCTCCTAGCACTTTGGGGCCTATTGTCACTTTCATCCTGGTGGAGGGAGGGACTGGGGCTTAGGAAGGCGAAGGGAAGTGAGTGGTCCAGGGCTCAGGACTTTGCTTTGAACAAACACTGTCTGCTCACCAAGGGCGGTAACCACAGTGCCACTCAGAGCCACCAATGCTGCCACATCCTGCCCCAAACTGATCAAGGACCCGGCAGCCAAGAATGACCCAGCCCTGACTGGATCACACTTGACACACAGGTGGGGACTTGGGTCTGTCCATCCACACGTGTATCCCCAACACCTAGCATGGTGCCTGGCACACAAGAGGGCTCAGTAATAGTAAGAAAATTAAGTAATGCTAAATAAATAGAGTAGTGTGGCCTTGTCACTTCCCCTTTCCTGGTCTACGTTTCCTTGTCAGTAACTAGGGGCAGTGATGCCTTTGTGGGAGGCATGAAGACAGGGGAAGAGAGGCTGAGGCAGGGGTGCTGCTCCCAGGCTGGGCCCGAGGTGGCCCCAGAGTATGCCCTCCACACCTGGCCCTTGGTGGGCACCCACCTTCTGCATAGTCTGGAGCTCGTCCCGGAGGCACTGCACCTCTTTCTTCAGGTACTGAAGCTCATTCTCCTTCACCCGCAGCAGCACCTGGGGATACGGGGCCAGGCTGACCCAGGGCCACAGGCTGGAGCTCCTGAGGCCTGCAGTGCCCACAGCTTGGCTTCTCTCTGCCTCGAGCCTCAAACAGCCACACCAACCTGCCCCGAGGAACCACCCCGCAGACTCCCTGGGGTCCTGCTCTGACCTGTCATCTCTGCTGCAGCCCCAACACAGCACCGGGTCCAAGACTGGGGTGAGGGGGTCAAAAGGAAGCCACGCTGGGGCCCTAACGGTGGGCCAGGCCATGTGACCATGGTGGGCAACCCCATGAGCCCTCCCAGCCTGAGGGACCGTGCTGCCGACTTGACCAGGGGAAGCAGGCCCAGCAGGGATGGGGCCCAGGCCCGGCCCCTCAGAGGCTTGAGCCCCCCTGCAGGGACTCCAGGCCCAGGGAGGCGCTCACCTCCAGCTCACAGGAGCTCCGCTCACTGCCACGCCCACAGCTGTCGCTGGTGCCCTTCGAGGCCATAAAGCTGCGCAGTTGGTCAATCTCCTCTGACAAGTGGGCATGCAGCTCCTGCAGGGAGGGATGGTTAGGGCGGGAGGAACAGTCAAGGCTGGAGATGGGCCTGAGTCCGTGGCCACTGTAAGGCCCACCTGGTTATGGCGCAGCAGCTCCTGGCCTTCCTGCTGGCAGCGCCGAAGCTTGTGCTCCCGCTCCTCGGCCTGCCGTGTCAGTGCCCCGATCTCCAGGCACTTCTGTGAGTACTGCTCGGACAGCACCTGCAGCTCCCGCTTCAGCGCCTCCACATCGGACCTGTCACAGCCAGGCCGTGTTGGGCTCTCACACCCCTCCAAGGTCCTGGGCTCTTCCTGCAGTCTGCCCTCAGCCGGTGTGGGGTGAGTAGGGACAGCCACTCTGGGTGGTGGGTGTGTCCTCTGGGAGAGGACAGGGCCACCTGGAGTGGCCTCTCTAAAGCCCCGAGAGACCCCACAGTCCAAGGCTGTGCTGGGATGGGAGAGACACCTACTGGCCAGGAGGGGCACTGCAGCCCAGCTCCAGGGGACAAACAGGTGAAGAAGGGGAGACCAACCCCCAAGACAAGTGGGGGCCTGCCGGGGGCCACCTGAGGCCCTGGGTCCCCGGTACTTCATGGGGCTGGGCTGGGATCTCACCTGGGGGGACCCAAGTGCCCTCTTCCCAGGGCCTGAGCAAAGTCCCCAGCTCACCTACCCTGGCCCAGAGGCCCACAACCCACAGACCCGGGGCCCAGGTGCTGCCTTACTGGTGCTGCTTCCGGAGGCCATCGGGGCCCTGCTGGAGACTCCTGGTTTTGCTCAGCTCCCGGCTCAGCTCCTCCTGGTAGGCCTTCTTCATGGCCTCGATGGCTGGGAGCAGGGAAGAGGGAAGAGGCGGAGGAGAATGGAGAGGAGCAACACTAAGGTGAACATAGGACAGGAAGCCAGGTGCAAAGAGTACTGGACCAGGGGGCAGAGCTGTCCAGGCTGCGTCCTGAGCTGAGTGTCATTGGGAAAGCTGCTTTCTGCCTGTCAGGGGAGGATGCACCGCCCCAGGGAGACAGCCCAGTGTCCAACCACTGACACCTGTCGCTGCCAGTGGCTTCCGGTTAAGGGTCCCCAGTGGGCACACTCCCTGCAGAGCCTTTGAACAACACCTGTCTGCTTTGCCCTGCCCAGGGCCCAGAGCTCGGGGTCTGCAGTCGGGACAAATCTGTGTGATTGTGCAGGTCACTTGACCCTTCTGTGCCTCAGGACCCTTATATGGAAAGGGGGACAAAAGCACCTTCTCTCTAGGGCATTACTGGAAGCTGCATGCAGCATGTCTGCAACAAGGTCCAACAGGGTGAAGACCAGCACAGTAGCTCCATTTCTCAGACTATGGGCTCCAAGGATTGTGTTGTTTTCACATCACACAGGGTTGTGGTAAGAATTAAATCCTCATTCAGTTTTATCCACACTTTTTTTGCAGACAGTGTCACTATGTAGTTCTTCTGGCTGGCCTCAGACTCTATGTAACCAGGCTGCCCTTGAACTTATGGTGATCCTCCTGACTCAGCCTTTTGTGTGCTGGGATTAGAGGCCACCATGTCTGGCTTACCCACAATTTCAAAATCCAAAAAGCTCTGAACCCTGAAAGTTTCTCATCACCCTCTGGTGGGCAATTCCCAGTGCCCAGGGAGAAGAGGCTACTTATGGTCTTTGTGGTTTCACATCCATCTTCCTGTGAAGCCTCAGTGCTGGTTACAGGGTGACACCTGGCCCCTGCCAGGGCAGGGTAACCAATATCTGCAGCCTGCCCTGGTGACCTCCCTAACGCACAGGCACAGGGCCCCCACAGCTGGGCAGGAGGGACCATGGGCTGAGTGGATAAAGTGCTTGCCCAGTGTGGGTGGGATGTGGGCTCTGCATCGCCTGCACTCTTCCGTGCCCTCTGTTAGCCTGCAGACCCCTGAGGGTGCCTAGAATGTGCCAGGGACATGCAGGACCTGTGCTGAGGACAGCAGGGCTGGAGGAGATGAGCAAGCATCTGGGGCATTTCCTGTTTCTAGCTTAGGGGGTAGGGGTGGGGTTTCAGAGTGGCTCTGCAGTCAGAGGGCTCTGGTTCTGACCCCAGCTCTGCCACCCGAAAGCTGCACATCTGGTATTACAGGCATGCGCCACCACGCCTACCCTACCCTTTGGGACAAGTCACTGACTCTTCGGAGGTCCAGCTTCCTCACTTGTGAAAGGGGTTGCTTGGTGGGGTGCTAAGGAGGCTCAGTGGAGGACTAAGGGGGCTCCTGTGAAGCACATGTGGGGCAGAGTGGGGCTCCTGTGCCAGGGTTATGGCACTCCCCCAGAATGGGGTACAGACCCCTGAGGGATAAGAGTCAACCCACTGTGGGAAGGTATCTTACTGGGTCAGTTTCCCCTTTGCAAGCAGGGCCGGAGACCAGCTCTGGGGGCTTCCAACCTAGGTTGACCCCTCGCCCCACGTCTGACCCCAACACCCCCGCCTCTGTCTTAAAGGCCTCCCTGCTCCCTCCCTGGTGCTCACCTGAGGCTGTGGCTGCTGTCTCCTCAGCCAGCAGCTGCTCCTTCTCCTGCTGCAGCCTCTGCAGCTCTCGCTCGTGGTGTCGCTGCAGCTGCTCCATCGCCTGCTGGTGCGAGGACTCCATCTCTGCCAGGCCTCGCTCACAGGCCTCCTGTGGGCCAGAGGCTGGGGATGAGGGCCACCCCTGCTGCCCCTCAGTGGCCCTGCTAGGCAAGGAGCCTCAGAGCCAGGCTTACGGGTGTCCCCAGAGCCAGGGCCACCAGCCTGCACCTGCCCCCACCACTCGATCCCCAAACCTCGCCTGCCACCTTCCCACCTCAACCCTTCGGAGCGCTTCCTCCTGCCAGGTCAGAGCTCTGCTCCATGGTGGCCCTTGTGGCCCCATCCCTGCCCAGCCCTACCCACCAAATAGCCTCGGTTACAAAACAACCCCAGGCATGCTCAGGCCTCTGAGCTGTAGCTCATGCTCTTCCCACTGCCTGGAACATTCTTTTGCACTGGTCTCTCCTTGGCTGGTTTACTTTGCCTGCAGCCCAGTTGAAATCGCCCTCCTAGCCATCTCTGGGTACTGTCTCCCCAGCCTCCAAAGGTTCTGCCTCTGCCCAACAATAATACCCAGCTGAGTCCTGGGTCCACACCAGGGCACATGTGGCAGGTGCTTAGTCCCTGAACTGAAATTGATGACTTAATACAAAACAGGGCTTTGCAGACAAGATGGGAAAAGCCTGGGAATCCCCACTGCTGGAACTGCCCACTGTGACAGGTGCGTGGGGACTGTGTGGCAGCATCCTTGGACTGTAACAACCCTGTCCTTTAACCCAGCAGGCCCACTTCTAGGAATGAGCTGTAGGAAGTCACATGTGTACAGAGACTTAGAGACAAAGGTATTCCCTAAGGCAATGTTGGAAATAGAGTCAGAGTTGCAATCAAGTTAAGTGGCAAAATGGGGAATCTTTAAATAAATGATGGGATTGAGCCCAACAAAGCACCCTGGAGGGCAGTTAAAAGATGCACGTGCCACCTTGGAAAGGTGCTGCAGACAGGTGTCCAAGAAGCCAAGGAATGAAAGCTGGCTCCCAATGACACAAGTGCTGTGGTCCCAACTGGTGAAACAAAACACAGGAAAAGTATGGAAGGAGATTGTAGTACCTATGTACCCCATGCTAGCCTTGAACTTGAGAGGATCCTTCTGCCTCAGCCTCCAGAGGGCTGGCTGGGATTACAGGGGTGCCCCACCACACCTAGCTCTGAGTTACTTTTTTTTTCCAGGTACCAGGGATCGAACTCAAGACCTTACGTGTGTGAGGCAGGCATAGTGGCTCTGAGTTACTTTTTAAAGTATCAATGTGTTTCTTATACAGTTTAAAAAAATGTTTAAGAACTGGTGAGTTGAGGTCAGCCTGGGCTACAAAGCCTGCCTCAAAAAACAAAACAAACAAACAAAAATGTTTAAGGTCATTAAAAAGGGAGGAGAAAGAGCTACTGAAGAAACTGAGGCACAGAGGGCCTGAGAAGGGACTGTACCCACCAGCCCCAGCAGGGCCTGTTCCCTGCTCACTTGTGGACTGTCTGGAGGGAAGGAAGGGGCCCCTGGGGCCAGGTGTTCTGAGTGGAAGGAGGGATGTCTGCTTGCTGAGCCTCTGTGCCTGTCCCCCCTCTTAGGACCTGGCTTTGGAGCCCTACAGGCTTTGGGTCCCTGCAAAGGATCTGAACAAGCCCTGCCTTCTCTGAGCTTCAGCCTCAGCATGTGTCAAGCGGGTCTCACAAGACCACCCACAAGGCTCCCTGCAGGGGCAAGGTCAGCCTCCCCCTTCCCTCGCTGTTGGGGTGCAGCCTGCAGTCTTAAAGGGCCAGCACAGGCAGGTGACTCTGGGGGTTGATGGGGCACAGAGGTAATGGGAAGAGGTAGAAATCAGCCCATGCGGAGAGCTTCTAGCAAGCCAGGGACTGCTCTGACAGACTTTCCCAAGGGGCCGAGGAGTCCTCCATGGGCACACCTCTGACATGAGGCAGATGTCAAAGTAGATGAGAAATGTCAGTCCCCTCACATTAGGCTGGAAAGGTCGCTTTGTCACAGAAGGCACTGGGATCCCAGTGTGAGGGACGCCCCCCCCCCCGCCCCGTGACTGTCCTGCAGTGGCAAGGTCCCCCGCCCTGTAAGGGGACTCTGACTGAGCCTGAGTCACTAGGCCAGGCATCCTGGGCCCCAGCTATCAGGGTCTAGGGAACTTCCAGCCACCTCCTTTGGGTGCCTGAACTCCTGTGACTCGGCTCCTCTGCTCTGCCACCCTACTTACGCCCAGCTTCCAAATATTTTCGGACTATTTCCTTCTCCCTTCCCTCTCCAATTCCATTGCTCCCCTCCCCACCCGCTGCGACCTAGGACAGAGTGCTAACAGCCTTTGGAGTCCAGGTCTGGCTATAGCTCAAAGGTCACACCAGCTCTCTGGGCCTCGGTTTCCCCATCTGTAAGTAGAGAAACCGGAGCAGTGCGTTGCAAATTTCACTTTAATGCCAGAAAACTTTCTCCAAATGGAATGGAAAGCAGGCTGTGATAGCAAAGCAGATGAGGAAGGAACTGCTCTGATTCAAGAGAAGGGACTCCCGGAGAGGCGCCTCGAGGCACCCCAGACAAGGGCTTGGCCGGAAAGTCCTGGGCAAGGCCTCGGAGGTCTTCCCAGCAGCCAGGCTGCCATGTGGGCCCAGCCTTCCCTCAAAGGCCCAGCCAGACAATACTGGTTCCCCAAGGCCAGGGACCCCCAGGTCCTGACTGTCCCTGTCCTCTTCACTGAACTGCCCCTCCTCCACTGCCCTACAGTGTGCCAGCCGCAGCCTCAAGGCCCGTGTCCCCAGGACCCAGTCACCAAGTCCTAAATCTTTCTTCCTCTGATGCCCCGCTCCATCCCTGGCCCAGCTCCTTAGACCTAGGCTTTGGCCTCTCCCTAGCCTCCTGTACTCCCAGGCCACCTTCCCACTTCGCTGGTGACCTCCTAAGGCCTCTGGAATACGACTCAGCTTGTCGCTGGAGGATCTGCCATAGGGGCCAACGTGCCTTCTTCTCCTGCCACAGCCAATGTCCCCACTCACAGGCCACTGCATGGATCGGTGTCTGACCCTTGGGAAACCCTGCTGGAGCCCCCCTCACTGGGACCATCCCCACCCCTGAAAACTTCTAGAAGGATCTTGCTCCCCAGGGCCTGGAATCCCAGCATTCTTTCCTTCTTCGGGGAATCCCGTGCTGGCCGCAGACAGGTGACTCAAATTTTTAGAAATTTTGTAACTTGGCTGATAAGCAAGGCCTTTTTAAAGTTTTGTTTTATTAGAGACTGGGTCTTGCCACCTAGTTTGGGCTGGCCTTGAGCTTACTATGTAGTCCAGGCCAGCCTCAAACTCAAGGTGATGCTCTTCCCTCAGCCTCCTCCTGAGTGCTGGGATTACAGGTATGTCCCACTATGCCCAGTACAATGCCATTTTTAAAAATTAAACGTATATATTTATAATTAAATTAATTACATTAAAAACAAAAGTAATAGATACTCAAAATTTGTCACTTCCTATTTTACAGCACTTTTTTTCCCTATTTCACAGCACTTTATCATTTCACTTTATTATTGTACTTATGTCTATTATAAGTGTGTTTACACTGCAGCAATTAGTAACGTTACAAATCAGGACTTCATTCATTGTTTTATAGATTCTCTAGACTTAAGCAAGTGACGAGAAAACACTAAAAACATAATGAAACTTAAAGAATGTCAGGTCTACAACCTTTACATTGTACTAGAATAAAAAGAATGCAAAAACATCCTTAATAAAAGATTCTGTCTCAAAAAGAAAATTCTTACACCTCAGCAAAGAAGTTGCTCGCAACACTGACTGAGAAAAAATAGTTTCCCGGTCTTCTCAATTCACTCATTAGCATAAACAAAAATGTCCACCCCTGTACACAGCAGAATTACATGTGGTCAGTTAGCTATGGATAGAAGTGTGTGGAAAACTCACTGACAGCATTCTGAGAAAAACCCACTTGCTACATGGAAGTCACAAAAAAGTGTTATACATTTTTTTATTTGTAAATTATATACTAAACATCTTTTATATCAGGAAAACTTATAATAAATACGTGTACACACACACACACACACACACACACACACACACATTTTTTTCTGGAGAGCTAGTTGTCGCAGTGTTGACAACCAAAAGTGGCCCCAGACAGAGCCAAATGTTTCTGGGGGACAAGATCAGCCCCAGTTGAGAGCCACTGTCCAAGGCGGACATGTGCTCACTCCCTGGGGCACAGGGGTACCCGGAGGAGGTGGGAATCAGCCCATGATGCATGTCCTGCAGGCCTCCTTGGTAGACCCGGACAGGCTCTCCCTGTGCTTAGTGGGGGGGCGACACCCAGAGCCACTGGCTCCTCACTTCCCCAGGGTGGTGCAGGGGAAGGGGTCCAAGTGCAGAGTGTCACATGGGGACTCACACACAGGCTCTGCAGTCTGCTGGACCCAGGCTCAAATCCCACCTCTGACACCTGCAGGCCGGGTGACCTCGGGCAAATCACACACCCTCTCAGAGCTCAGTGGCCTTGTCTGTAAAATGGGCACAGTGATCATGCCCACCAGCTGTGGGGAGATTAAACAAGATGATGCATGTCAAAAGCTGCCATCACACACGGGTCCCAGCACACAGTAAGGGCTCCCAAAATGTCAGCTGTTTTCAGATAACACAGCAACCAGAAACTGCCCCAACCCCACGAGACAGCAACTCAGCCCTACCTGTGAGATGTAGCCTGGTGGGATGTGGCTGTCCTCCTGCGACCTGGGTACGTTCTGAGGAGCCTCCCCTCGGACTCGCCATGCCTCCAGCTGGGCACGAAGAGACTGCACCTATAGGGGGAGACCAGGTCAGCAGGTGCCAGAGGAGAAGCCCGGGCTCCCAGCTCCGTATGGGTACAAGCCCAGATCCCTGGTGCTGGGAACAGCTCTGGATTGAGAAGGGCCACCAGCCCTAGTGTGGAGGAGTGGGCAAGAGGGACATCCTAGCTGGGCATAGTGGCATAAGCCTGTAATCCCAGCACTTGGGAGGCTGGGAGGACTGCCACGAGTTTAGGTCAGCCTGGGCTACATAGTGAGCTGAAAGCCAGCCTGAACTGTAGAGCAAGACCTTGTCTCAAACAACAACATCAAAAACAAAAAAAGGGGAGATATCCTGCCTGGGAAAACTTTGGCTTAGAGATAAGGTGGGGCTGGGTACACCACACTGCAGTCACAGTTACCAACCACACTGTGATAGCAGCTGGGGAAATAGCTCTGAGCCTCAGTTTCCCCACTGGTAAAAAGTGAGGTCTCCCAAGTGGGATCACACAAGGCTTGGCACAGAGGAGATGCAAGATAAACAGTTCCGCTCTCGGCTTCCTATTTCCCTTCTCTGTGGCTACTAAAGGCACAGCTAGGAAGGAGAAAACAAAACACCACGGTCCCAGGAAGAAGATTCCTATTCACAGGGAGCTTAAGGTACCGGGTGGTGAGAGATCAGGAGTGAGCTCCCTGTCGCTGTGGGTATGCAAGACAAAGGCCGGGGCACACAGGGAGTGGGGGAGCATGGGTGTGAGGGGCCCACCTCCTTCTCCAGGGCCTCGTGGGTGTCACTCGGGGCCGCCCGGCGCTCACTGCGGCTTTGGTTAAGCAGGGCCGTAAGGGGAACCCGCTTGTTGTCCCGCAGTGGCAGCTTCTCCAGCTCCTGCCACTTCTTCTCTATCTCCTCACTGAGCCGGCTCTGCTGATCCTCGGTCAGTGGGGCGCCCAGGGCCCGGCGTGGCGCCTCGCCAGTCTCAGGGGCCCGGCTGTCTGTGGCCTCGAACCACTTTCGACGCTCCTCAGAGCGCTGGGCCAGGTCCCGCTCCAGTTCCTCCTGCTTGGCCGGGGTGCGGGCCCGCTGTGGGCCACCCTGGGTCAAGGGTGAGAGCTCCACGTAGTCCAGGGACTGCCGGTGCCCATCCACCTTGCGGGTGCCGCTTCGCCCTCCAACCTCGGAGCCAGCTCGCTGCTCCCCCACCTTCAGGGAGCCCTTCTGGGGGCCGTAGCCGTGCAGCGTGTTCTCTTTGTTGTAGTCCGAGAGCCTAAGGCACCAGCAGGGATCCATCAGGGGGACCTAGGCCACTCGAGAGCACTTCCAGGGGCACCTGGGTGCCAGGCCCTGTGCACATGGACCCCAGCAGGCAAGCAGCCCACCCTCATGGCTGAGAACTCTGGCATCATAGTCAGCTGACCCTGGAGGCATCCCACCTCCACCACTTTCCAGCAGGGGCCCATGTGTCTGCCTCCCTTCCCTGCTCGGAGTCTCAGTTACCTCATCTGTCATATGCAACAGCACCACTACCCCACACAGCAGAAATTCGAGGGCTGAGTGAACAATGTGTGCAAAGCAATCAGGCAGCCCTCTGTCAGCACTGTAAGCATGTTACTATTAAAAGTATGAAACAGCTGGGCATGGGGGAACATGCCTATAATCTCAGGACTCTGGGGGGCTGAGGCAGCAGGATTGCCAAGTTTGAGCCCACCCCAGGCAACTTAGTGACTAAGCAAGACCCTGTCTCAAAATTCAAAATAAAAGATAAAAAAGGGCTGGGGAGGCAGCTCAGTGTGAAGGCCCTGGGTGTGATCCCAATACTGCAAATGAAAAAATTTAAAAAGTATGCAACAAAATAATGTATGAGACAAGGCCCTGAGTTCAGGAGGCCCACAGTCTCGGGGGAGTCAGTCACTGCTGACAGGGTGAGCACAGCAATGCCTGCGTGCACACAGCACAGGCTGCTGAGACTCTGAGTGACCATGGCAGTGCTACCCTTCCATAATAGCTGGGTGCATAGTCACCAGCCGGAAGCTGCACTTCTCAGAGCCCAGGAGTGACCTCATGTTCCCTTGGGCTGTGACAGGCAGCTCCCTCTGAGGAGCTAGGTGACCCTGGCTCCCAGCTGGGACTCCAGAAGAGCCCAGGCGGCACCCTTGCAGCCAGAGGTCAAGCAGGGAGCCAAGGGCCCCAGGGATGCCCACAGGCCGGGCTCCACACCTCTGGCCAATCCTGAGAATGAATTAAACACCTATCTTGCTTAAGCCACTGGTCTGCAGTTTATTAAAGCAGCAGAGCCTATATATTAAGTCATGGTCCTTACAAAGGGCTCTGGGCACATTGCACATGTGCAGACATGACAGCCAATGTGACAGATGAGGGCTCTGAAACTAGACAGGAAAGCCACTGGCCTAAGGCTGAACAGCCTGAGCGTGGCCAGGTGGGGGACTCCACTCAGCCCCCTTCAATACCATGCTCTGTTCCTGCTGCCCAGTGGCTGCAAGCCCCAGCCCAAAGAGGGCTCTGCCGCCAGGTAACACAAAGTCTCCTGTCCTCTCCTGTGGCAGCCGTGGACCCTGTCCCTCCCCTTCAGGATGTGGGGGACTGTGATGGAATGGTGGGGCAGACCCAAAATCCTTAATGAATTTCTGCATGAATGTCGAGAATGCTCACTGCTCTCTCCCCATTTTGCTGCTAGAGAAACTGCGGGCCCAGAAGGCACAGCCACAGGGCCCCCAGGCGAGAGCCCCGGTGCAGGGGGCAGCCCCTCCCCCAGGGACCCAGTCCAGCCCAGGACATACTTGGTGACATCGGGGGCTGAAGTTGGACGCACAGTTTTCCTCAGAGCCTCGATCCAGTTCCTGCGGATGCCCGAGGTCATGGCCGACAAGGTGTAGACAGCATCCTTGGTCTGCAAGTCCACACCATGGGCATGATGCCACATGGCCAGACACACACTCCCTCCCCACCGCAGACCCCAGCCAAGGTAGCTCTACTTTCGGTCTGAGGTCGGGGGCGGGGGGGCTCCCCTCCTCCACCCTGGAAGAGCATGCTGGCTCTGTGTTCTCCCCGGGTGCCTTAGGTGTTGGCACTGAGGACAGGGTCTCTGGGTCAACTCTGCGAGCCCAGCTGCACTGTCGCCCTCCCCTAGCTGCATGCAGACTCACATGGATCTGGAAGCCATAGTTGCGCTGCACTGCGTACTCGGTGACATCCGTGCAAGAGCGCAGGTCGATCTCGCCGTCCAGCTCATCTGCCTAGAGCAGAGGAAGCCATCATGGTCCACATGGGTCCTGGGGAGACTCATGGCACTGACCCCAGCCAGGACATCCAGCCCTCCCAGAGGTCCCCTGGCACCAGCTGCCTCACCTCCTCAGCGGTGGAGTCTCTGTAATACTTGAGGCTTGAATCTGTCAGCACGAACCAGTGCTTCTTCCACTGTGAAGAGAGGTGTGTGACCAAGGGGCAAGCCTTGCAGGAAGGTGGAATGAGGGCCCTGTGTTTGCGACTCTGCTGGAGTTCTGGGTGGCTGAAGGTCAGCCACTCTGCACACAGTCAGGCTAGAGAGCCATACTTGAAGGGGGACCCTCCATTACCTCTTGGAGCCACGGGGCCAGTGTCTGTGACATGGGCTGGCTTCTCCTCCACAACCACACCCTCCCTGTCCCTTCTCTAATTTGATGATCCTCCCAGAACTCTCTGAAGATCGCCAAGCCTCCTCACACACCTCCCCTGGTGCAGCACAGAGAGGGGTGTGACCTGTGGAAGGTCACTTCCCTAGCAGGTGAGGGACTTAGTGTGGCTAGAACTCTGCAAATCTTTTCCATATGCCCCCACCCCTCCAGATTGTCACAGTGGTCAGACAAATGTCCAGAGGGGACTGGAAAGAGGCCCATGGCAGCCGAACCAGTGCTAGCCATAGTCTGCTTCTTGATCTGCTAGCTGGATCTTGCATTCGGTGTAAGGATACGCTCTGATTTTTTTTTTTTTTTTTTTTTAGATTGAGTCTCATTATGTAGCCCAGGCTGGCCTTAAACTGGAGGTGAGCTTCCTGCTTCAGCCTCCCGAGTATTGAGATTACTGGTTGGCCCTATGTCCTGATTTACAATCAGGGTGTTGGTGTGCGGTACCTCTCTGCTCTAGTTCAGTGTAGGCTGACAGGACATGCAGGATAGGAGCAAGGCACCAGATCAGCCTGATGCCACACATGCCCAGCTCAGCTTGCCTCCGAGCTCTGGTCACACCACTGGAATGCCAGTTGAGGGAGGTCCACCCACTGCCAGGGTCAGTGCATGACATGGGGCTCCCCCAGTCACCAAGCTCTGTCACCAACCTGTTTGGTTCTTTCAAGTACTTAGTCTCCTTCTTCTGGGACAGAGTAGTTTTCCTGCATATGCAAGAATGACACTACTGCTGAGCATGTAGCTCAGTGATAGCGTGCTTGCCTAGCATGCATGAGGTCTTGGGTTCAATCCCCAGTACCACAAATCAATCAATCAATCGATCGATCAATCAATCAAACTTCAATAAAGATACAAAAATGGGCTGGGGATTTAGCTCAGGAGTTCTGCCACCTGCCTCGAAAGTGTAAGGACTGGAGTTCAATCCCTGGTACCAAAAAAAAAGAAAATAATCTCAAAAAAATGTCAGCTGTGGTGGCGCATGCCTGTAATCCCAGCACTTGGGTAGCCGAGGCAGGAGGACCACAGTGAGTTTGAGGCCAGCCTGGGCTACATAGTGAGGCCCTGTCTCAAAAAAAAGAAAAAAAAAGAATGACACTATTTCTTTCTATGCTGCCTCTGCTGAGAGGGTTTTAGTGTCCAGGAACCTAGGAGTGACTGTTTCTTTGCTAGCTGTATGCCTTCAGGCAGCACTTCCACTTTGCTGACCTTCAGGCTCCTGATCTGTATAGCAGGGCTACTGGGAAGGCCCAAAGCTAACTGGCAAGGTGAGAATTACCTATTACCTTTGCTTGTCCCCTGTACACTCGGCACAGGGACAGGCACCAGGTTGCTGGGGAAGGTTCTAAGAGGCTGGTCCCTTATGGCCACCCTGTTTGGCCTGAGTGGACCTCAGTGTTTCTCTGCAGAGTGGGGCAGGTTCCATGGCAAATGGCTTGGCCTATTCTGTGTCTGAGGTGGAGCTGCAGCCCCCAGTTCTGGCCCTAGGGTACCTGAGATGTAGCCCGGCCTGGCAGGGATGGAGGCTCAAGGGGCTGCCTCCTATCTGTGCACCCGGAGGCTGGGTGGACTGTACTCCCAGGGCCCTTCCAGCTCGGACATTCCAGAGCCCTTGGAAAGAGGATGACTAATGGCCAGTTCTGGGTGGGGCCCGTAATCCCTCTGCCCTCTGGGGACCCTGGGTGGGGAGGCCAGGAGGGGGTCACTGGCAGTACGCCAGCCCTTGTGTGAATCTGGACAGCAGCCACCAGGGGACGGTAGGCAGGCGGCAGGGATGGAAGGCTATGGGCTGGGGGGGAAGAAAGCATGAGGGCAGGAAACACAATGAGATTCCCTCTGGCTCGGGGCCCTGCCCAGCATGTGGGCTGCATGCAGAGCACAGCCGCAGGCACACGCAGGCCAGGGTAGGAGCCATCCCCTCCCAGGCCAGGTGGGCAGGGAGCCAGCTCCAGCTCTCTGGCTCCAGCCTGGCAGCCGAAAGGGCAGAGCTGCTGAAACAGCCACTGTACCCTCTGGTTCCCAGGATGGATGCATTAGTGAAAGGGAGGGTCACAAGTAGACTCTCCAGTGGGCATCAGGTGGGACCCTGTACATGCTTGATCTCTGTGACTGTGATCTTTACCCATTACCTTTCATGCCACATCACAGATGTGGCCAATGAGGCCTAGAGAAGGCTGTGTGGCCCCACAGTGGTGAGACTCCTGAGCCCCTGCTCTGAGCCCCAGTTTTGGGACCGAGTGTGGGAATCTGTGTGTCTTGGACCAGATGTTCCACACGAACCGTCCTGCCTCAGACCTTCAGGTTCCCAGCCAGGGTCATCAAGAGATAAGAGGTAAGAAGCACTTGGAGCAGGGGTTGGTGTGCAGGGCGTGGGGGCAGGGAGACATCCACCCTAGTGACTTGCACAAGCACGCTGCCCAGGAGGCAGATGACCAGCAGCCGCTGTCCCTTCCACCCACGGAAACATGCCCAGCCCTTTCCCCTGGAGAGGAAATGCTCCCCCCTGGGACTTTCACCTGGCCCCACCTCCTCCCAGAGGCTGTGTCTCTACAAGGCTGGACAGGCAAGGAAACCCTGCAGTGGCCCAAGCCAACCTCTCCTTCCCGCTCCAGCCCTCCTACCTCTCCTGGCTCATCCAAGATCGACATCCATCCCTTCTTGAAGTTGAGCAGATCGGGCTGTGGGGAGATGCGGAGGCAGGTGGGTCAGGCCCCAAGAAAGCCGTTTGGGAGGGGCTGCTGCACCCACCCTGCCCAAGTCTATAATATGAGGTTCTGAGAAGTCAGTAGAGAGGGTTAAGGGCCCAGGAACCCCCAGATCCAAGCAGGCCCCCTAACACTGAGGTAGCCTTGGCTTCTTTCCCCAACAGCCAACATTCTCTGGGAGCCAGGAGGCTGGGCCAGGTGGCTGACACATACACCACAGATGTCCGAGCTCCCTTCCAGGCAAGCAGGGGAATGGGGGGTTCGGGGGACTTGGCCTGCAAAGCGATGAGCAATCTAGGGCCGGGGATTTAGCTCAGTGGTTCTGCTGTCTGCCTCACAAGTGCAAGGTCCTGAGTTCAATCCCCAGTACAAAAAAAAAAAAAAAAGAGATGAGCGATCTGTCCAGGTCCTCCTTGACTAGGCCCAGGTGCCACCAGGATCACATAGTGCTGTGCCCACTCCACCCACTGACCTGTAGTCCAGCCAGTCCGGCTCTTCCCTCGCCTCCTAGAGACCCTGAAAAGTGAGCCGGTCCTTGGCTGGGGTCAGAAAAGCCTCTGGATCCCCTAGGTCTCTTTGGAAAGGCCATGGCATCTCAGTCCTGGCAACCCCTACCTGCTGGGTCCTGCCAAGGGGGGCACAGCCCCGGGGTCTGGGGACTCCTAGATGCAGCATGGTCCACGGGGCCCTGTGAACCAGACACCCTGCCCCACCTAAGTGACAAAACTGCTCATCCTGGCATCTTCCTGACTGCCCATGTGGAGGGCACCACCACCAGACCTCCTGCCCGCTGGGTCCCTCCGCAGCCTCAACTGCCCACAGACAGGGAGGCGAAGCAGGGCGGGCCAGGCAGGCAGGCAGGGAGGAGGTGGCCACCTGTTGCCATGGCTCTGAGCCCACCTATCAGTGCCTACATCTCGGCCTCACCAGCCCAAGGTGTCTGGTTGCGCAGAAGGAGTCACGGCAGGGCTCAATGTGGGGTGGGTGGTGACAGCTGGAAACTGGAGCCGACCGACGTGGCAGCTCTCCCAACCTCCATCCAGGGAGCCCCAGTCTCCTCCTCAGGTGAAGGAGGTGAGTTGAAAGGGGCATGAGCCAGCATCCTGGGCATCTAGAGCCAAGGAGGGCGACCGTAACAGGCTGGCAGCCTCGCCCTGCATACCTATCAGAGAGAGGAGCCAGGAAACCCTGGGGCTGTGTTTGTTCCGTGTGCTCTCTATTCTGTCCAGCCACTTGTGCCCAAGCTAAGACTGAAGACTGATGACTACCACAACTGCCTCTACTTCCCTTCAGCCCGGGACCACCACAGTTCCAGGGCCTGGCCTCACAGGACTCAGGACAGGCTGCAGAAAAAATAGCTTCTAAGTCCTGTGCTTTGGGGGCAAGGCCCTCTCTCAACCTTGGCCCTAAGGTGCCAAGCTCCTGGGGATAGATCCACCAAGCTGGCTTCACCTGGCTGACCAGGGCGAGCCTGGAGGACATGCAGGCAACAGCTAGTCAGGTGAGAGACGGACCCTGGGGCTCTGGCAGCTGAGCCAGGGCTCCCTAGCCACAGTGACAGGCTGCAGGGACCACCAGGGCTGCCTGGGAAGGGCAAAGGCTGTGACCTTCCTAAGTCACATCCTCTCTGCTGCCTGATGTGACAAGTGATTGAGGCTCCTGCCCTTCCAGCCAGCTTTCCACAAGTTCTGGACATGCTGCAGGTACAGCAGCCCTGGTGACCCTCTCTGGGCCAGCAATGACATGCCACACGTCTGGTCACACATGACCTACTACAGTGACCTTGGGGAGAGGAGGCTGCATCTGTTTCTCCAATGCTAGGATCTTAACCCAGGGCCTTGCACATGCTAGGCAAGCGCCCTACCATCGAACTACACCCCAAGCATTTTTAATTTTTTTGAGACAGGGTCTTGCTAAGTTGTCCAGGCTGGACTTGAACATCTGATCCTCCTGCCTCAGCCTTCTCAGTAGCAGGAACACAGGCACCTACCACTGTGTCCAGCCAGTCCTTTTTTTTTTTTTTTTTTTGGAGACAGGGTCTTACTATGTAGTCCAGGCTAGCCTTGAACTCTCAGCAATCCTCCTGCCTCAGCCTCCCAAGTGCTGAATTACAGGTATGCCCCAGCATACCCAGCCAAAGTGAGTCTTTAAGCCCCTTGGCAGGGAAACCTATAGCCACTGTCAACTTACGGTGCAATTTCACCCCAGCTCCTGATGCCCAGCCACTTCTACACCCAAAGGGCCTCAGTTCCTCTGTCCCCCTTGAGGAGCACCAAATGGCCCTTACTGCCCTCCACCCAGACCCTGGCCACAGCCCCTTCTAAGCATACACTGCCAGGGCTACCACTCAAAAAGGCCTATGTTACAATCTCCTTAAAATCTCCAAGCAGCTGGGCATGTAATCCCAGTACTTGGGAGGCTGAGGCAGGAGGATTGCTACAAGGCCAGCGTGGACTCCATAGTGAGTTCGAGGCCAGCCTGGAATACATAGGGAGATCCTGTCTCAAAAAACAAACAAAAGAATCTCCAGGGGTGGCTCTAAAATAAACAGCTGCCTTCAGATGGCAGGAGGCCTCAATCTCCATTCTGATCTGGGCCCCACCTCGAGGTGCTCCCAACTCTCCAATGTGCTGATTCTGAACCTCTCACAGCTGCCGTGCCTTTGGCCTGAAATACTAGGCTTCCCCTGCCATTGCTGAGCAAGTCCCTACTCATTCCTGAAGCCCCAGCTTAATTGCCACCTCTGCGCCCCTCTCCCAGCACTCACCACACACTGTGCCAGCTGCCCCCACCCTGCCCTCCTGCCATCCCTCACACAGCCTCTGACACACCAGGACTTTACTTGCCCTTCCTGCTGGGCTGTTCTCCCACTGGGACCCAGCAGAGATGGGGGGTCAAGGTGTCTTTTTTTCTTTAAAGCAACAGGCAACTGTCCCAGGGCAGGACATCAGCCGTGAGCAAGAGCCACAGCCCCTGCCCTGTGGGTCTTAGGGGAGAGGCAGACAGTAAACAAGAGAACAAGTATATAATTTGATGCCCCGAAGTGCAGAGAGATGAGGCTCCTGAGCAAAGCAGCACTGGGGCTGAGGCTCTTAGAGGGAGTGGAAAAAAACGGATCCTGATTCCGGGGCACCGAAAACCACCAGCTCCCTGACACCTCTGAACTATTACCCATCCCCAGCAGCTGCGCCACTTGCTCTGTGCAGATGGCTGAGCTCTGGGCGTGGGACTGGGGAGATGTGCCAGGGGAGAGGAGGCCATGAAGAGGGCATTGCAGAACACCAGCTCGGAGCAGGTTCGGTTTGAATGGGACCAGGATGAATCCAGTGAGCACTGTGAATGGTGATCATGAGTTGAGTCTCTGCTCAGCAACCTCTCATGGCTCCCCACTGCCCCAACCCAAAGCCCAAGCTGCTTTCTAAGCCTTAAGGCCCCCTTCCCAAGCCCCTTCTCTTTACTCCCCAAACGTGGCCACCAGCCTTGGTCCACACTGCAGCCTCCTCTGAACGTTCTGCCCCCTTCCCTAATCCATCTCCACCTGAGGCCTGGGAACCCCTCCTTGTACTAGCAGTGACGCAGGGTCCCTCCTCCCAGCATGCTGCACCTAGTAGCCTCACCCTCAGCCCTTGCTGTCCTGGGAGCGGCAACTGTGTACATTTCTTATCTCTCCCTTGGAAGAAAAACTGGGATGGATCTGGATACAAATTCTGACCTAGCCAGGGGCCAACCTGAACCCCGGGATGGGTCACTTCACCGCTCTACACCTCAGTTTCCCCTGCTGTTTAGTGTGGACAGGACCACCAACCTTAAGGGATTCATCAAGGACCCTAAAAGCACCCAGTTCGACCACCTCCACCTGGACCCAGACATTGACGCAGCTCAACCCACAGCCCACTCTACTCCCTGCCAGGGAAATGAGGCTCCTGACAACAGGAAGGGCCAGGAGGGAGGTGGCAGGATGTGTGGAGGCAGAGGAAGTCCAGGCAGCAGGGCCAGGTCATCAGGCTCACAGGGGCAGGGCTCCCCGCACCATGCCCCCTACAGCCCGGCCCACTCCTCACCAGGGCTCCACTCCCCCAAGGCTGACAGGCGTCTGTGCACATGCACACACCCTGCTCATCCTCCTCCCAGCCTCTGGGAGCCTCCCAAGGGCAGTGGCCAGAAATCAAGAGCAGCCACACCCCTCCCTTCTAAAAGATCACCCATCAGGTGGCCCGACTGACTTGGGAAGGGGATCTTTCTTCCTTTGGTCAGCTCACCAACGCCCTTCCTCAAACCTCAGTTTACCCTTGCTGTGAAAAGGGAAGAACAGCGAGTAGGGCGGTGAGGCTCCTAATGATAAGTAAGCCACAGGTACAGAAAGGCTTGCTCAGAGCCCAATGCCAGGAAAAACAGACCCGGGCATCATGCACCCACCCCACTCACACTTCGCCCCACCCAAGGCCCCCTGCGGCCCAGCCCGGAAAGACACCGCCTCGGATGTCCCAGAATGGGCTCTCGCGACGCGCCCTTCTCACCAGCCCCAACCTCGGGCCAGCGGCCACCCTTCCCAGTCCAGGTTAGCGCCCCGATCCCGACCCTGGCGACGACCGGATCCTCCTGCCCGGCCGGTCTGCGCTCCTCCCGCGGTCCGGAACCCCTGGCAGCCTGGGGAAAACAGGTCTTCACCCAAGGGGCGAACGAGAAGGGGGGAAAGCTCGCCCTGGATCCGTCCGTGACTTGTCCCCTAAAGGAGGGGGGGCGTCCCTGGGACGGGTCATTCCCATCGCCAAGGGTCGCCTGGGCTCCGGGGGTGCCGAGGTGTGGGTCCACCCGAGCCCCGTCAGGCTCCAGGAAGTGGGCAGGGGCCGCCCCAGCGCGCTGCTCGGCGGTCGCCCCCATCCGGCCGGGGCGCGCAGGCTACCGCAAGCACTCACCGTCATGGCGACGGCCCGGCGCGGCGGGGGCCGCAGACAGGAAAGGGGAAGGGGCTCTCGGACCGGGCTGCGCAGCGCGGGCACGCCGCCGCCGCCGCCGCCGCTGCCCCTCTCTCGGCCGCAACTTCAGTCCTTCCCCTCCCCGCCGCGGTCCCGGCCCCTTCCATCCGCCCATAAAACTTTTTTTTTTTCAAACTTCCTGGGAGGATCTGGGCGGGCCAATGGCCTGAGGAGACGCCGGGACAAACACCGGCGGGGGCAACCCGCTAGCCAATGAGAACGCGGGACGAGCCCAAGGGCGGGGCCGGTTGTGAAGGGGCGGACGCGCTAGGGTGACGAGGGCGAGCGGATGGGGGCGGCGGCTAGGAGGGCGGACCCTTCTCTGTCCTGCGGCGCGGGACTGGGAGGAAGGAAGGACTCGGCGCGCAGGTGACTCCGTCAGGCGACGGCACGGGGGGGCTGGGGAATCTGCGGACGTGGGCCCCTTGTCGCTCGGCTCCAGCCCCCACCGCAGGGGCCACTAGGTCTCTCTATGCCTGGTTGGATGGAGACATGGGCAAAACACCCAGTAGTAACGACTCGGCGGCTCCCACTTGTTACCTATGTAGTGGACTTTCGTCCTCAACACAGAGCTGAGAGGCAGAGCTCCTTGTCCCCATTTTACTAATAACATTTGAGGTTTAGACAGGTGAATAGACTTGCCTCAGGTCACACAGTAAAAGTCGGAATTGTTAAAGATTTTGCTTTGGGTTCTGGGTGTGGGTGTACACCCATCGCTCAGTTTGCAAGAGCATTGGCAGTTTGTTAAAGCTCATCGGAGTCCTGCAGATGAAGGATGGAATTTGTTGCTAAATGCACGTGATAGCCTGTGTTGCACAGCCATTCAAACCCTGTTGTTACTTTAAGCAAGGCACTCCACTTATCTGTGCTTCAATTTCACCCTCTGTAAAATGGGCTAATGCTACTCCCTCACGAGGTTGTTCTAAGGATTAACAAGTTCCAGCCAGTTTCAACCACCCGTGGTACATGCACGACTTCCCATCCGTGGCATGGTGGTTCAAAGCAGCCCAGGAGCAATGCATAGGAATTATGGCCCCGTCCTGAGCATGTTAACCATTAATCCAAGTGAAGCACATGGAACAACCTCCTTATCCCTAGTTAGCTGTCCTTGGATGGGATTACTGAGCAAGCCTGGGTTACTTTCATTTCCGTTATTCTGCTGCTTTGATTTAGGTTTCAAAAATCATTGCTCTTGTAATTCCTATCCCCTTTCACACATAAAGAAACGGAAACCCAGGGAGCTGAAGTTCTTTGTCAGAATTACCCACCGGGAGCCTCCCCACCGTGAGGGATGCGGCCTGAGGGATGCGGCCGCAAGGAAGCCACCTTGGGAGACATTGGTGGCCTCTGGCACATGTGCGGTTCCCCGCCCTCCCCCTGCACTTCATTCAGGCTCTCAGCCTAAGAGAGGAGGGAGCCAGCAGAAGAGCCCGCCCACTATGGGGATCTGGCCCACAGCACCAGCGCCTTGCTGGTTTCCTGGCTTCTAGTGCCTCCAGTGTGCCCAGAGTGTGCCCACGCGCAAAGCTGCCAGTTCTCCCAGGGCCGGGAGGTCACTTGGCATCCAGCCTGCGATCCCCATCCTCACACACACCTTTTCCACACTAGGGACACAACACTGGCCTGCTGGGAATTCCCAGGGTAAGCCACATCCTCTGGACCTCCTGATTGCCATGTCTGGAACACTTCCCTTGCTTTCTTTCCACCCCAACACACAAACTCTTTTGCCACCCCCAGAAGTTTGTCTAAAAAAGTCCTCCTCACCCTTCAAGTCTCAGTTCAAAGAGAACCAAAGTGTTAAAAGTCAGAAACTCCTTCCTCGGTGCTCCCTGAATCTGGAATTCCTCCGCTAAAGTAGTGGCCACACTGTGTTGAGCAGTGCACATCAGAGTCCTCTGCTCACGATGCTCCTTGTGAGCAGGGTAAGGATTTTTCTGTCCCTTGGAGGCACCCCAAGGTCAGCCTTGGCCACAGTACATCCTCAGTAAGCACTGGTCAGATGAATGAATACATAAATGAAGAAACTACAACTTGCTTCAGGAGAGCAGACACAGCCTCAGGGACCCAGAGGTGCAATGTTAAGCCTGCAGAGACCAGAGCCACCCGACTTTGGGGTTGTCAAGTCTCAAACCATTGTTCATTGAGTCTCAGAGCAGGGAGACAGTGGTCCGAAGCACACAAGTTAGGAGCAGAGACAGAATCTGAGCCCAGGCTTTCTGGTACTTGGCCTTGGGCCGACTCCGGTGGGAGACATGTTTAGAAGTGTCTCTGATAACCATCTGGGAGGCCAGCACAGTCCTATCCCTAGTGCCCCAGTGTTCTCATCCCCAGATGGGGAACAGCTGCTCCCAAGCTCCCCAAGTCTCAGTTGCCACATCTGGCTCATTGGGCTATCAGTGGTGACTCTAAGGGCCCCAGGAGCGCTGAGGAGATCAGCACACACTGCCCAGGGAGGATTTGTAAACACAGCTCTGAGGTCAGCCAGAGCAGAGTTTGAATGTCAGCTCTGCCCCTTATCCCTGTGTGACCCAGAACAAGTGACTTTTCCTCTGAGCCTCATTTCCTCATCTATACCACGGACATCGGGAATAACTGGGCCTGCTGGTGAGGAGTAACTGGAGTCCGGCAGGCCAGGCGCTGAACACGGAGCAGGGCACACAGTAGGTGCACAATAATTGCTGGCTACCACCACTGCCACCATCATCCCACAGTGCTCCTCCCCACCCCTCTCCCCCTTCTCTCTACTGAGAACTGACTTGCCTTTCCTGCCGGCCAGCCCTGCTGCATGTTGGTGACCTTTCGTCAGAGCAGCTGCTGCCCTGCCCAGATAACCATGTTTGCCTGGCTGCTCGGTGCCCTAACCCCAAAAAGCAATAGAGAGGGGATTGTGAGGTGGGTGGGGAACCGCACTTTTGGACAGCCTTCTCCATCTCTGTATCCTGACCCTGCGTCCTCCCTGCAGCCTTGAGTCCCCACAGGAGCCTCAGTCCCTTCATCTGCAAAATGGGCCAACTGTCTCCAAGGTGCCTGACCAACAGCAGTGAGGCCTGTCACCGAGTAAGGGCAGCCTGTTGCCCCTGCAGATGCCAGCCGCCTTCTCTCCTATGAAGGGGCAGGAGGGTGCAAGTCACAGCTGCCTCCCCTCCCTGCCCTTGAAGAAGCCCCCAGCAGAGGCCTGGTTGTTTACAGGCCTCTCTGGGCAGGGGATGGGTTACGTAATGCCAGATGTTTGTAAAACTGGCGTGGGCCCAGGTCTGAGACACACTCTGCGGTCCCAGAGCCCCTGAAGGCTTCCCGCTTCCCTTCTCCCCCACCTGGCTCCCTGGCCCAGGGCTGGTGAGAGCTGCAGACTGGAAGGTTTCAGGTGTGAGATCATCAGTCACCCCTCACCCTGACCCCTGAGAGGACCCCCAGCCCTGCCCCGGAGGTGGGACACTCAATCGGAAGAGACCAGGGAGCTCAGGAGCTGTGCAGCCCACTCCCCTTCCAGGGGACCCCCTGGGACCGCCCCTCTCTGTCCATCCTTGCCCCTTCAGCCCCCGAGAGAGCCAGCCTACCCTTTGCCACCTGAGGACCCCCAGGGACAGCAGGAACGGATTGAACAGCGTGGGCCGATCCCCGGGCATCCGCCATGAGGTCACCAGTCGGCCCTTGATCGGGCTCCCAGCCTTGCCCTCTGCTGGCCTCTTGTCTGCCTGTCAAACAGGGTCGATGTTGTCCGCAGGTCCCTCTGGCGGGATGGGGACATCCTTGCCCATAGCCTCCCCTGCCCATTCTGCCACTGCAAAGGCCCCATGGACCATTGTTCTCCACCACCCCCTCCCCGAGAACTGACAAGAATAAAGCTTGTGAATTTGTCCGCAGGGCCCCTGGGGCTCAGCGGCCTTGGGGCTGTGCACCCCACACCCTAAAGTCAAACCCCAGGTTGCCAAGGGGACTGTACCGATCACAGATGTGCGTTCAGTCCAGTGGCATCTACAGATTATTTCCCACCAGGTTCCTAATGTTAAATAATCCAGAGATTATTAAACACCTATTTCCGATTTCTCCCGAAATATCTAAAGCTATGGAAACTCTAGGCCCATCTTCTCCACAGCACTGCCTGGGGCCAAAGGGTCATACACGAGTAACCCAGCCTCCACTCTTGGCCTTTGTTACTTGCCTGGCATTAGGTTTGTGACCTCAAATTACAGGAAAGAGATTCTTGCAGACACCCTCACAGAACCCCAGAATACTCTCCCTTTAAGGTCATCCTTGTTGGGGAAAATGAGGACCAAGCAAAGCAGAGGCACTGGCCTAAAAGTCACAAGGCAGGTTACAGGCAGGGGCAGGGCAGAGCTGGGGTGTTCCCTCTCTGGAATCTGCAGATTCTCTGGAAATGGAGCTTGAAGTCTTAAAGCATAGGTTGGGGAGGGCTTGGGAAGGTGTGTTCCCCCCCACACTTGGTTACACACCCCGATCAAGCCCTGACCACTGGCATGGAACTGTCCCCAAGACGGGCTATGTAGTGGCATTCTGTCTCACCTCTGACCCTGGCACTTAGAAGGTGCTAAGTGTATGTGAATGAATGAGCAGGTGAATTGAGGACTGAAGTAGTTAGCACTTGCGTCCAGTTGAGACTGCCTAGGATTAGGGGTGGCTGAGAGACTAGAGAGTCCCCCGGCATTGCTATTTCCTCTTTGTTCACGAAGCTGTCTCCAGGAAGCATGAAGAAATAACCCCGAAAGAGGAAAAACAAAGTTGCCAGAGTCCCTCTCACCTCCCCATTTCACAGATGGGAAGACTGGCCATCAAGCAGTTAGTGAAGCAGTGCGGGCAAGGGTGGGGGCAGAGGGAGCACTAGGTGGGAGCCCCCTGCCCAGAGTTCTAGTTTGAGTCCAGCCACAGACTGGCTGTGTGACCTGGGACAATTCCCTGCCTCTGTTTCCTCATCTGCACAGTACGGGGTTGGACAGAGTCCCCCCCAGCTTGGACTAGCAGCATGGCCAGGCTTGGGGGCTCCAGGCTGCCAGACAAATGCTCCCTGTCACACCTGGCTTTTCTGCTGGTGCCACAATGAACAGCAGGATGAGGAAAACAGCCCGAAACAGTCTGTCTCACCCTCCCTCCCCTCTGACCTCACCCCTCTGGAAGCTAAAAGTGACAAGAATGGTCTGTTCTGTAGGTCACAGGGAGGGCGGGGCAGAGCCGGCTCCAGCTAGAGCCAGGGCCTTGGTGGAGCAGTCTCCAGGGTCATCTTCTGCACACATCTCCACAGCTCTAGACCCAGCTGACCACGACCCCCCTCAGCTCTCTTCTCTTTGACATTTCTTGCCCTCAGAGGCCCTCAGAGACCATCAGGGTCAAACTGCTATTTGGAGAAAGGCCGTGGTTCTGGCCCCTGGATCATCTACCCACCCAGGTCTGTTGGAGGTGACTGTTGTCCAGCTCCAAAGCCCCTCTTCTCAAGGCCCCATTTCCATGCACAGATGACCCCATGGCAGAGCCAGCCTTAGTCTGCAGGACTCCAGAGAGGAACTTTGCCCACCTCCAACCTGATCCCCCTTTCCATGCCCTCCCTGTGTGCCCATGCCCAGGACCCAACTACCGAGTCTGCCTGTTCCTGCTCAGTCAGTGAGTCTTGGCCTCTGCTTGGTTCTGATGCCTGAGGCTCCTCTGGTTGGAACTGGAGATAAGAAAGACTACAGATTAGCCCAGGTTATGGCCTAGAGTCTATCCATCTATCCACCTCATCTCCAACTATCATCCACCCAACATCCACCTAGCATCCAGCATCAATAGATGCATATGTCCCTCCAACATCCACCCTGCATTTTCCACCTTCACACATGCACTGTCACCTATTTGTATATCCATCCTCTATTTACTCATTGCCCATCCATCCAACATCCATGTATCCTTGCTCCATCCATGCAACATCCACTCACCCATCTACTCATCCTTCCAACATTCATTTGCCATCCATCATCCAACATTTACACATCCACGCAACATCCATCCATCCATCCATCATTCCTTCATCCATCCATGCTTCCTTCCATCCTTTCATCCACCCATCCATCCATCCATCTTCCACCAAACACTCATCCAGACAACTATGTGTTCACCACTACATGCTTATCCATCAGCTAGGCCGCATCCATTTACCCATCACCCATCATCTGTCCATCATATGTTCATTCCATTCATGCACCGTCACCCATGTTCATCCATCATCTACTCACTATCTTACCCTGTTTTGTTTCTTTTTTTTGTTTTTTAAGACAGAGTCTTATTATATAGTCCAGGCTAACTCCAAACTCATGACCCTCCTGCTTCAGGAGGTGTTGGGACTACAGGTGTCACCACACCCATCTTGGAACCCAGAGCCTTGTGCATGCTGGGCAAGCCACCTACCACTGCACTTCGTCCCCAGCCCTCCCTGTGTCTTGCATGCATTCACGGATCAGGCACCCACTGAGCTAAGCCCCTCTTCATGTCAGGCCCTGGGCTGGGGGCCAGAGGTACAGAGATTAAGTAGGCACACCTCCTGCCCCATGGAGCTCATGTTTCTCCTGGGGAAATGACAATCCAGTGTGACAGATGGAGGGAAGCAAGACTGGCAATCCCAGAAGGGGAACATCAAGAGTCTGGGGGTGGAGTGATTGTTCGGGGAGGCTTTTCGGGACAGCACACCTGACCTAAGACCTGAACAATGAACAGACACTTGCTGGGGGAAATGGGAAGGGAAGAGCACTCTAGGCACAGGGAACAGCAGGGAACAGGGAGATATGCAGAGTCCTGCAGCTGGCTCAGCACAACTAGAGCCAGCTCTGGGGTGGAAGGAAGAAGGGAAGGAGGCCTTGAATGCCACACCTAGGATTTCCACAGAGACAACCAGCTGGAGCCCTGGCCGGACCTGGAGTACACTTCTGTTTTGTCACCTGTGAAATGCCCTTGGTGCAGATGTCTCTGGCTCCTCCCCTGTCACCACCCTGTAGCCTCCCAGGGATCCCCAAGCCTCAGGGGTGCAACTTTGGCTGAAGTCTTTCCCACCTCCCCCTGCACTGGAGACAGCCTGCCGCACAGCCTCGTGACCCCTCAGTGGCCTGGGTCACCCAGCCTCCCCAGCAAGCCTAATGGGAACTTGAGGGCAGGACCACCCTGGCTTGTGCCTGCACGTCTGTGTCTGTCCCCAGGACCAAGTAGAGAGTCCATGGAGAAAGGCACAGGGAGCCACAGGAGGGAGGGTTCCTCAGCCCCGCCTGGGCTCACAATGTGGCCAGCTTTGGAGTGGATGCCTGAGCCTCATTTCTCACAACTTCTGCTTATGTGGCCCCTGGCAATACCTAATGAGTTGGAGGCTCGGTTTCCTCATCTGTAAAATGGGAGTAGCAGCAGCTGCCTCTTGGCCATCTGTGACACACATGACAAAGCACATGAGGTACTGTCCCCAGTAAACCCGGGGCCTGGAAGCCTCATCATCCATGGAGGCAGCAGTGCTGGACTGGGAACCCAGGAAAGGAGGGTTTGGGGGACACGTGGACACTCCATGTCACCACAGTAGGCCTGCTCAGGGAAGTGCTTGGTCCTGTTTTATGGCCGAGGCCCTGAGAGGCGAGGTGTCCGAAGGCAGTGCTGTGTTCCTGGTGAGCCGCGGCAGGTGGCAGGGCTCTCCCCACCCACCACCTTCAGACCAATGCTCTGGGCTTGAAGCAGGACTGAAGTACCTCTGAGGCAGGGGAAGGACCTGGGGAGCACCTACTGTGTGTCTGGTGCTGGGCCTACTGTGCACATGGCCCTCATTAAGCAGCTGGCTCAGCCAGGGAGTGCTTTGTGGCCTTTTCTCAGTGTAAGGTGCTGTAGGGGCCAGAGAGGGGTGGGTGAGGCTGTCCTGGGCCCAGCAGCAACTTGCATATGGCAGGGGGAGGGAATACAACCCAACCACACTGGCTGCAGCCCAGGTAGCCCCAGGGGAGCTGGGCCCAGGAGGGAGAGGGCCCGGCCCAGGGTGTCCAGCTTGAGGCTCAGGGTGATCGCACTAAGCAGACCTGGGCTCCCCTGCCTCAGCAGCTATGGGAAACTCAGGGTGTCCGTTTCCTTATCCACATGAGTAGTGCCTTCTCACTGGGCCACTGTGGAGACTAAATGGGAAAAAGACACTCGAAGTACCCAGACAGGGCTGTAGTAAACACACATTCTGCTGGTCATGACAACGCTGTCGGGTGCAGTGGTCAGAATGGTCCAGGCCAGCAGGGAGGACCAGGACTGGGCCTTGGGACAGAGGGTGCAGGGGCTAGGGTCTTGTCACACGGAGCCTTTCTAAGGAGACCTGCTGGGATGGGGCTGGCTTTCTGGCCACCCTTCCAAGGCAGAGGAAACTTACCTCTGGCTCTAGGAGGCTGGGGCCTTGTGCAGGCCTGCTCTGCTCAAGCCGGGCTGTCGGCTGCAGACCAGGCAGAGATGAGGTCACTGGTCCACTTGTTTCTTGGGTCTTCGGCCACTGGGTGGAGGTGCAGGCAGCGATGGGTGGCTGGGCCGGGCTCTGGGGCTGCTGCCCAGGGTGGTGTCCATTGGCTACAATGGCCTCAGCCCAGCCTCCGGGCCGACTGTGTTGCTCCTGCTCCAGGGCATCATCCTGTGTGCCTGGGGGACCCAGCTGTGGCCCTGAAGCCGGGTCACCCCAGTGTCCGGCTGGGTCTTTGTGGGGCAGCCTGGCCTGCAGGAGCTCCAGGAGGCCTTCCCAGTCCAGCCTGGGCAGTCGGGCCCAGGCCCCCTCCCCAGGGGCCCGGAAGAGGCCCAGCAGGTCCCTCCAGTCCAGCTCCGGAGGCCTCTCAGGGCCAGAGCCCATGGCCGTGGGTGTCTCAGGCCGTTGGGGGTGGGAGGATTCTGCTTGGCCTACCCAGGAGTGCTCTGGGGGGCTCCCAGCCTGCGGGGGGAAGGACAGCTCCTGCAGGCTGCCCCAGCCCCTTGGGGCTGGCTTCTGGGGTCGCTCCTGAAGACCATTACTGGGGGGACCCTCCCAGGCCTCGGACTGCCCCCAGCTCTCCCTGTACTCTCTGAGAAGGCCCTGCCAGGCTCCCTCCAGGGCTCTGGCAGCTCCCAGGCTGGGCTTCCCAAGTCCTGGCCAGCCCCCAGGGCCTGGGCCCTCCTCCTGGCTGCTCCAGCTCCTTTCTAGGTGACTATGAGGGACCCGGGACCCTGGCAGCTCCTCCTGACTCTGCCACCCTGGCAGCGGCTGTCTTGAGCTTCCTCTGCCCCTCACCAGAGCTTTCTCTGTCCACAGCTCCCTCTCAGGGGGCCTGGCCGATGTCCTGGGGGGTGGTGAGGATCGCTGTTGCCGCCCGTCCCCCTCAGGCTGTCTCTGGAGACTCCTGGATCGAGCAGGTTCTGCTGGGCTCCTCCTGGCCGGTTCTGCCTGCTTGGCAGGGGCCTTAGTCACCTGAGAAGGGGGGGGGGGTCGGTGAGGGCCTGGGACCCAGCAAGATGGCCACTGTCTGTCTGAGGCAGGGACAAGACAGACAAGGCTGGGTCCTCACAGCAGCCTAGATGAAAGCAGGTGGGGTCCCTGGGTCCCTCCCTGAGGTGTCAGCTCTTCCCTCTCATCCACTTCCCTCAGCTCTGGAAAGAGATCTACAAAGAGCTGCTCACCTTCGGGCTCCCCTCCCCGCAAGATATTGATTCCACCCTGGGCTATCAGGTGCCGGAATTTCTACCCGAGATACCCATTCCCCTGGGGTGGGCGTTGCCCTCAAAGAGCTTCTTTCAAGAGCAGTCCCCCTCCTGGAAGAGTTGGCCCTACAGCCAGATTAAACCATCCAGCCTGTCCCCAATCTCCTAACGATGGAAGGGGACAAGGGGACAGCGTGTCGGGGGCTCTTCAGAGGACTAATTTGGAGCCCTTTGCATTTCACCCAGAGCTGCTGGGCCTCGGAGAGAGGGGAGAGCTGGGCACCATGACTGGGGCTCTGAGCCTTTCACAGCCAACCTCCCTGCTTAGGACTCGGCCCGGCACCCACAGGGTGGGAAAGGCAATGCTCACCTGCCTCCCTGCGGCAGGGCTGGGCTGTCTTCGGAGAGGCTGGCTCTGACCTTGGCTGGGCCGCGGTGACCGTCTCTCGTCCTGAGCCTGGAAGGCTCCTGGAGTCTCAGACTTCCTAGGAGCAAATGCAACTGCTCCGAGGCCTTTGGGAGGGCTCCACCCAGCACCCCAGCCCCTTCACTTCCACAGGAAGTGATGTGGGAAACCCGAGACCCACTGCAAGCTTGTCAGGGCCCTAATGAGGGATGACCCTCCCAGGCCTCAGTTTCCCCTTCTGAAACTGAAATGTGGGGCTGTTGTGATGATACTATGAGAAATGGAGTCATCACTTCTCAGCCTTTTGGCTGCACTCCAGCGAGGAAAGGGGTTAGTGAAGGTGTTGGGGTAGGGAGAGGATCAGGCCTCAGCCATGGCTCCCAGCTCATTTAGCAGCCCTCCAGCCGCCCAGACAATGGTCAGACTAGTGCTTGTGGGAATTCACATTTATTGAGCACCTACTGTGTACCAGGCACTGTGCACACATAGCCACAATGTTCAAGCAAACATTTATTGAGTGCTTCTATGTTCCAGGTACCAAGCTCTTATACTGTGATCCTATTTCTCGTTACACAGCTCATGTGGTGGAGATGAGAGAGGCAGAATATTGCATGCCCTGTATTCCATTCTTTCTGCCCCTTTCCTGTCCATATTATAAATTTAGGATTCCTCAAGCCTACTGCCTTCTTGTCCTTCACTCAGAGCTAACCAACAGGACTCCAGCACTCAGCCTCGAAAACTCCAGGCCATTCTCGCCATTGGCAAAAGAACTCTTAGCAAGATGGAAAGGTCAAGGTGTGGTGGTGCACACCTGCAATCCCAGGACTCGGGAGGCTGAGTCAGGAGGATTGCTGGGAGTTCAAGGCCAGCTTTGTTTTTAAAAAAAAACAAGGGAGAAAATTTTCTCCTTCCAACTCCAGAAAGGCCAACAATGGCCTTTGTCCAGGCGAATGTGACCATGTCCAACAGAGATAGCTCTAAACTTTGTAAAAAACCTGGTTCTAGGGCCGGGGATTTAGCTCAGTGGTGCCGCCGCTTGCCTTCCAAGCACAAGGTCCTGAGTTCTATCCCTGGTACAAAAAAAAGAAAGCCTGGTCCTAGGCAGTTGTCTTGCTTAATAATGGGTAGCTGTTATTAGCATTCAGCAGTTCTCTGTGGAGAACCCCAGATAGACTGTTCACATCTGTCCCCTCCCATAGTAAGGGGGTCACCTTAAGACCCCAATCACTCCATAAATATTTATTTCCATGGGGTTTGAGAGTCTAACTATGGGGCTGGGGATTTAGCTCAGTGGTTTCGCCGCCTGCTGTGCAAGCACAAGGACCCGAGTTCGATCCCTGGTACCAAAAAAAACAACAACAACAAAAAAAGAGACTCTGACTAGGTCTAAACTGCTACATGGGTGGGGCCTGGAAGTGGGCTTAGCCTGTGTGAGTGTCTGGATTCAATCCCCAGCACCACAAATATACATCAGTAAGACAAATTGGTAAGTGGAGCAGTGTCTCTGGAGGCTGAATCAAACCAGGAGAAGAAGCCTGAAAAACATGACCTGTGGTGACCCCCAAGTAAACCCGAAAGGGGGGTCAGGGGAAGCGCAGTGGGGAGCCTGCAGCTAAAGCACTGTATAGACACTGCAAGGGGTTGGCTGAGTCAAGAAAAGTATAAGCCAGGCATGGCGGTGCACACTTGTAATCCCAGCACTCTGGGAGGCTGAGGCAGGAGGCTCACAAGTTTGAGCCCTGCCTGCTCAGCTTAGTGACTGAGACCCTGTCTCAAAATAAAAATAACAAAATTGAAAAGGTCTGGGGATGGAGCTCAGTGCAAAAGCCTTGGGTTCAATTTCAATACTGGAAAGAAACAGAAGTGCAGGGTTGGGGTTTGCAGTTGTCCTGTGTCTTTTGCCCAGGTCCCTGCGATCAGATCTACAATGTAATTTGAGTTTTTAGTAGTGTTCAGTAGTTCACACAGAGACAAACCCATGTTCCCTGGAGTGAGAGTTTCTGCGCTCAAGGGCTCCCTGATCAGGTTCCTTTTTCAACCAAATTTGACCCGAGAGGGTTTCCTTGCTCTCCAAGAGCAGAGTCTTCCCCGGAACTGAGGACCAGAGCCTTCCAGTGTAACCCGAGGGGACATGGGGACATCAGGCCTGGTGGAGATGATGGGAGGGTCCATGCAAGGAGCAAGGCAGGGTGTGTTCCCTTTCAGTACTAGCAATTAAACGGAGGATCTTCACAACCAGCTCCATCCCCAGTCCCGCCTCCCCATTTTTTCCCCTCCATTTTTGGGTTTTTGTTTTTTTGGAGGCAGGTTCTCACTAAGTTGCTAAATTGCCCAGGCTGAGGTCAAACTTGCAATCCTCCTGCCTCAGCCTCCCAGAATGCTAGGATTACAAGTGTGTACCACCATGAGGAAGGCTATTTTATTTTTTATTTTTTATTTTTTGGTACCGGAGATCGAACTCAGGTCCTTGCGCTTGCACAGCAGGCGGCGAAACCACTGAGCTAAATCCCCAGCCCTATTTTTTTTTTGAAGGCTATTTTAAATTCAGCAAATAATTATACATGATTCTAAAATTATAATTGGTTATAATATATATCAATTATAAATGATTCTAAGATAAGAGATTCCAAAAACATAAGGAAAAAATTCAGGTATCAAGAGAAAATTCTGACAGCCTTTCAGGAAAAATATTCCAGGCTCAGAACAATGCTTGGACAGTGTAGATGCTCAATAAATACATACCAGGTGAATAAATGGAAGAAAATAAAAAGCACAACTCTACAGCCACCCACCCATAAATTCCAATCTATCCTTTACACAAATTCATAGTTTACAAAATTTGTCTTCAGGGCTGGGGATTTAGCTCAGTGGTTCCACCGCCTGCCTCGCAAGCGCAAGGTCCTGAGTTCCATCCCCAGTACCAAAAAAAAAAAAAAGTTATCAGAGAGGGGGATTTTAAAAAATTAATCTTGACTTCAACACTTTACTGTCCCTGCTGGAATATTAGATAAAACAAAGGTATGCAAATTGACATCAGACCAAAAATAGTGATCACAAAAATATCCAAAGAGGATTTTTTAGAGCAGTGATACTGATAACATTCTTGTACAAGCCCATAGAGTGCACAACACCAGGAGCAAAACTTAATTATTTAAACTATGGACTTTGGGTGAGGTGTAGGTGTGTGGATTATAATCAGAAGCACCATTGTGGCGTGGGGTGTTGCTGGAGAGGAGGGTGTGTACATTTGGGGTCAAGATACATGAGGCTTTCCTCTCAATTCTGCTGCAAACCTAAAACTGCTGTTAAAAAAAACCAAACAGTATTCTTTAAGAAAAAGGCCAAAGAAACAATGACACTAATCCTGCAGTCCATGAAGATTGTCATTTTGATGTTTTGTTTTGTTTTGTTTTTTGGTACTGCGGATCGAACTCGGGTCCTTGCGCTTGCGTAGCGGTCAGGGAACCACTGAGCTAAATCCCTGGCCCTGTCATTTGGATATTGAATGGCTGGAGTTTACGGAAAGGAAATTTGAAGAATTCAAATCTCAGCGAAATATTGCCTCAAAGGCAGCAAAAAGAGGAATTTTAGGTACAAAATATTGTATCTTCCTGTAGGGTGCAGGAAAAGTTCTAAAATTAGGTTGTATGGGGCTGGGGATTTAGCTCAGTGGTTCCACCACCTGCCTCGAAAGTGCAAGGTCCTGAGTTGGATCCCCAGTACCAAAAAACCCCCACAAAACCCCCCACAAAATTAGGTTGTGTGGCAATGGCTGTCCAACTTGGTAAGTAGATTAAAAGTCACTGGATTACACATTTGAAAGTTCTGAGACTTCCAGACACTTTCCCCTCTGGTTCTCTTGATCCCAGGATGGAATTTTAGCTCTGATTTTTTGTTTGTTTGTTTGTTTTGTTTTTTTGGTAAAAGGGATCGAACTCGGGGCCTTGTGCTTTCGAGGCAGGCAGTAGCACCACTGAGCTAAATCCCCGGCCCTCCAGCTCTGATTTTTGAAAGCTCAGGGGCTGGGACTGCTGGGGAAGGAAATCTCAGCCAGATAAAGTGGGAAAATTTCCCCTTCCTGCAGCAGGGAGGTCCTGTTGACCGAGGAGACTTGAAAGACACCTGGGTTTTAGGCATTGTCACCACGGCCCGGGAACCTAACGTCTAACCTCGAAAAAGTCTACAACCCTGCAAGCTCTCTTAATCAAAATCTGTGGCTCCAGGCTGGGGTGCAGCTCAGTGGGAGCCCCTGTACATGTGTGAGGCCCTCTGTCCCATCCCCAGCTCTGCCAAATAAAATCAAACATGCGGCTCTAGCCATAGGTTTGAAATGGATGTCCCTGTTTTGGGAAATGAATAGTGAGTTTTCTCTGCTAAGTCAGAAAAGAATTAAAGGTACTTTCTTCTCAAACAGAGGGTTTGAGAGTTTAAACTTATTTAAATAAATTGTGTTATATTTCTCCCCCGTTTGACAGATGAGGAAACTGAGGCTGGGGTAGGTTAAGTCACTTTAGCAGGTAACACAGGAAGCAGAGATTTAAACCCAGCCTGCCTGACCCTGGTGTTTACTTTTGACCAGGGGGCTTTGCACAGTATCGCCTAATCCTCAAACTCCCTAATATGCAGAAACAGAGGTGATGAAATGACTTGCCCAAGGTCACACAGCTAGAGAATGGCAGGAGGACCTGACCCTTGCTTCTGGCCATCTAACCCTGAGAACCTTCCACCTGTCCCGCTGCTGCCTCCTCCCCAGCCCACCTGGCTGCCCGGCCCTAGGCTCACCTGCGCTCTTGCCCGAAGAGGCGCTCCACCTCTGTGCGGCCGGGGCTTCGAGTGCGGCCCCCGATGCTGCCCTGCGCCTGGGGCGCTGGCTCCCTCTGGGCCAGCCTCCTGGGCCGGGGCAGGTCAGCCAGCACGGTGTACTCCTCCCTCTCCAAGTTGTGCCTGGTCTCCCCGGGGGGCGCTGAGCCCCGGGAGCCCCTGGAGCTGCCCGGTGGGGGCGAGGGTGCCAGGAGCGCTAGGTCACTGGGTGGGTGTCGGGGTGGGGAGGACGCTCGAGGGGCATCGCGGTGTCCGATGCACACCTGGGGGGGGAGCAGGGGGCAACCATGCAGAGAGTCAGTGGAGGGGGCGAGACTCTCCATACTGGCCCCTGGACGGTCCTGGAAGAAGAGCGAGGGCTCTGGGGCTTGGCGTGGGGGCGATGAGAAGGAGGGGGCGTCCCGGTGGCCAATGCACACGGGGGTGGGAATGTGGGGGGGCTCGTGCAGGGAGTCCATGGGGGGCACGAGGCTGTCGGTGCTGGCCCCGGGGAGATCCTGGAACAGGAAGGGGGGCTCTGGAAACTGGCGTGGTGGGGAGGAGGCCCGGGGCGCATCCCGGTACCCAATACACACGGGTGGGGGGAGGTGTGGAGGCTCGTGCTGGGGGGGCTCATTCTCGGTCTCGTTCTCTGCGTCTGACGTGTCTGGGAGGAAGGGAAAGGGATCGAACTGAGTGTGGCGAGGGGGTGAGGATGCCCGAGGGGCATCTCGGTGCCCGATGCACACGGCAGGTGGCATATAGGGAGGGTCATGGTGAGGTGATTCACTCTCAGGGGCTTGGGGCTCTGGAAAGAAGGGGAACGGGTCGTGCTGCAAACAGCGAGGAGGCGAAGAGGCTCTCGGGGCATCGCGGTGACCGATGCACACAGCGTATGGAGGTTGGGAGGGCTCGGAGGAGGTCTGGGGCGGCCCACGTGTTGCAGGGTGCAGAGGTGAGGAAGTCCGGGAGGCACTGAGGTGGCCTGGGTTACAGGAGGACGAGGCGGCTTGGGGTGGCGCATTGTGCTGGCCCAGTCCCCAGGAGGACTTGGGTGTGTCACGCTGGGCTGATCTGGTGGGAGAGGAGGTCCAGGGCCTGTCACCTTGGGTTGGCCGGAGGGCGATGGATGCCCAGGGCACCTCGCTTTGCTTGGGGCGAGATGGGGAAGAGGTTCGGGCAGCATCGCTGGGCGTAGGCCGAAGGGGAAAGGATGCCCAGGGGATGTCCTTGTTGGTTCTATGCGGAGAGGAATTCCTGAGATTGCTCCGTGGCGTGGCGTGGCGAGGAGATGGCAGTCCAGGATGGTCCCTTTGGGTGCACCTCTGAGGCGAGGAAGTCCCAGGGCCATCTCGTTGAGGGGAAGAGCAGTGTGGGGCATCCCGCTGGGTACAGGCACTTCTGAGGTGCTCCCATCTGCTACAAGAGGGTTTCGGGTTGTCTCGGTGGGTGGAAGAGGTTTTGGGGGTGTTTTGTTGGATACAGGAAGTTCTGAGGGTTTCCTTCTGGGGGGTTCGGCTGGGAGATGAGGACCTGGGTTTGTCCCGTTGGGCACAGGATGTTCTAGAGTTTTCTCTTTGAGAAGTTCTGGTAGGAGAGGAGGCTCTGGGATTGTCCTGTTGGGCACAGGATGTTCTAGATTTTTCCCTCTGGGGGGCTCGATTTGGAGAAGAGGCTCTGGAACTGTCCCGTTGTGCACAGGATGCCTTGGGGATTTCCCATTGGGTGGTTCGGTTGGGAGAGGTGACTCTGGCATTGTCCTTTTGGGTGCAGGATGTCCTGGGGTTTTCCCGCTGAGGAGGACAAGTAGGAAAAGAGTTTGGGAGGTTGACCTGTTGGGTAGAAGTGGTTCTCTGACTGTCTTGTTGGGTGGGTCTGAGGGGAGAGGAACGTTGAGGATTGTTCCGTCGAGGGGCCGAGGTGCTGGGGTGGTGGGAGACTCTGGAAGGAGAGGATGTTCTCAGGGTGTTCTGCTGTGTGGACGAGGCCCTGGGGCTGTCCCGTTGGGTGGATAAGGTCCTGGGGTTGTCCCTCTGGGTGATTCGGTGGGCAGAGGAGGCTCGTGGGGGTTCTTGTATAGACAGAGCCTGGGCAATGTCCCTTTGGGCTGAGGATGCCTGGCAGGTGGCACTTCGAGGTCCACTCTGTGGTGTCTCAGAGGATGCCTGGGTTGGTGAGGAGCGATGTTGCTCCAAGGAGAAGTAACCACTTTCTCCCTGAGGCTTCGCCCAGTGCTGTCCCGTGCTCCTGCTCCTGCTGCCCTTGTCTGGGGAGAGACAGGGAGGTTCAAGGTAGGGGGAGGCTCCAAGAAGCTCTCACTCTGCTTTTCTTTGTCCCCTGGGATCAATGATTAGGGAAGACCCTGTGTTGGGGTCTTAGAGGTGCCACTGTCCATACAAAGGGACCCCACCCCTCTGACCAAGGCTGGTTAAACAAGGCCGGGGACATCTCCCTCCAGCTGGGGCAGGAATGTGAAACCCAGGGCCAGACTGACTCAGTCAGTAGGGGGCGTGTGCCGGAGCCAGAAGGTCACAAAGTCTGGGGTCCAAGGATGTGTCAAAGGGGATGCAAACTTACAAAGAACAGTTTTCGGGGGGCGGTAGGGTACAGGGGATCCAACTCAGGACCTTGCGCTTTTGCTTTAGAGGCAGGGGGCAGACCACTGAGCTAAATCCCTGGCCAGAGCAGTTGTGACAACAACCCCATGACCCCAAGGGGAGAGGGATCTGGTAGCAGCTACCTAGCAACTTTTCCTTCCTGGTTCTACTTCCTGTAGCTGGATTCCCAGAAGTCAAGCCACTTTCTTCTAAGGGGTGCCTTTGATGAGTGAGGGCTCTAGAGGGCTCCAGTTCCCTATGCCTGACGACTCCTCCTGCCCCAGAGGCTCCTCCCCGAGGCTACAGTGAGAAGGGCCAGGCCAGGGTTAGCTTGGACTCCTAGGACCAGGCATCTAGGTTCCGGAGAGGAATGCAGACTTCCGGGCCCCACCTCGATTCACAGCCTCAGACTCCACTTAACCAGATTCCCAGACCACTCATCCACCCTCAGTTTCCAACGCGCTGGTACAGGGGATTAATGCAACTGCCCTCGACAGTGCCCCCTTCACAACTTCCTGTCCCAAGATAGGGTCTGTGTGACCTTGGTGCCACTCTCTAGCCCTCTCAGTCTCGTGGCCATCAGCTGCGTGGTGCGTGTGTCCCTGGGCTGGTGCTCAGGGGAGAAGCACTGTGGCCTCATCTGGAAGGAGCCTTAATGGAAGCCTTGCTCGAGGTCCCCTCCAACCTCGCCAAGGCGGTGTAATTCATGTCTGAAGTCCCAGGACCTGGCATTGTCATTTCCTGTGGGCTAATGTCCCAAGGTCGTCCTCAAATGCACTGCAAAGTCACCCCTTTCCTCATCTCAGTGCCTCCCTCAACCCTAGACCTCAGGCAGCAGCATGTGTCCCCAGGCCCCAGTGCCCTCACTCTCCCACTTCCAGAGCAAAGTGGCCACATGCCCCTGCTCACAGCCCGTCAGGGGAAGGGCAATATAAGGGGGACAGGAAGAGTGTCACAGATCAGAGGACACAGAGGAGACCAGCAGTGAAATACAATGTGGGGTGCTGGACTGGATCTGGGGACCAAGAAATGGACATTAGAAGGATAACTAGGGACTGGGGATTGAGCTCAGTGGTTTCACCACCTGCTATGGAAGCGCAAGGACCCGAGTTCAATCCCTGGTACAAAGAAAAAAAAAAAAAAGAAGGATAACTAGGGCATCCAAATAAAGTCTGTAGCTTAGTTAACAGTGTTAGATCAGTGTTCATGACCACCCTGTCTTTTTCTGTTGTGTTTTGTGGTACCAGGAATTGAACCTGGACTCTTTTTTTTTTTTCTTTTTTCTTTTAGTTGAACCTAGACTCTTTGCACTGAGCTACATCTCCAGCCCTTTTGTTTTTTGAGATAGGGCCTAACTAAGTCACTAAGTCACCCAGGCTGGGCCTGAACTCAGCCTCCCAGAGCTCTGAGATTACCGGCATGTGCCACCCCCCCCAGCTTCTGTGAGTGTGCGTGTGCTGGGAATGGAACCCAGTGCCTCACATATGCTGGCCAAAGGCTTCACCACTAGCAACATCCCCAGTCCCCACCGATGTCAATTTCTCAGTTCGGATCACTATGCTGTGACATTAAGGAATCTGGGTGAAGGGTACAATAGCAACTCTCAGGACAATGAGTACAGCACAACTCTTCTATAAGTCTAAGATTGCTTCAAAGCAAAAAGTTGGAAAAAAAACCCTTCAGGTGCTCCCTATTGCATTTGGTATTCAGGGCCACGCTCTAAAGCTTCTTTCTCCCTAACGCACCAGGCTCCGGCACTACTCTTCTTCGACTTCCTCAAACTCACACAAGCTCTGGCCGCCCCTCGGCTGAGGCACTCTTCCCTCTACGCCTGGCTGGTTCCTTCTCAGGCTTGGCTCCAGGACAGCCCTCCGGGCACCCCTCGCATCTGTCTCTCCTGCTCTGCCCTGGGAAGCTCTGTTTGGGAAGCGCGGTGCCATCCAGATGGTATCCCCAGGCTTGGCACCCAGCACACCTCTTGCTCTAGTTCTGCCCCGACCTGGAGTCTCCCCACTCTCCCAACCCTCTGAGCTCAGCTCCCAGCTTCGCACCTTCTCTTTCCCACCATCTCAAGCTGCCCCTCCCCTTTGTTCTGTTTTGGAATTGTTGGGGGTTTTTTTCTTTTGGATTTTTTTTTTTTGGGGGAACGAGGGCTCGAACTCAGGACGTTGCACTTCCGAGGCAGGTGCCACTGAACTAAATCCCCCGCCCTCCTTTTGGATATTTGAGACAGGGTCTTGCTGTGTAGCCCAGGCTGGTCTTAAACTTACAGCGATCCTCCTACCTCAACCCCGCAAGTGCTGGGATTACAGGCATGCGCCACCATGCACAGATTCAAGCCGCTCTTTGTGCCTGGCTTGTTCAGGATTGGCCTCCCCTCTGCAGCCCCTCAGTGGGCACACAGTGTGGCTCCATAGGTCCCTGGGCACTCTATGTCCCGGCCCTACCAGCCAGGCTCTGCACAGCCTGCCTGCAGAGTGAACTCAGCAAGCCAGAAGGTATACAGAGGGATAAATGTCAAGGGTCCCCAACATCACAGAAGGGTGAATCCCTCTCGGCCTTGGCCCCTGCCTGCAATTCAGGGAACTGCCACCAGGTGGACAGTGGTGACTGCTTCTGGTTAAGTAGGTCAGAGGAAGGCTCCAGCCCCACTGCCTGCTGCCTGGGGTGTTTAGGAGCAAGAAAGCAGGCACTTAGGACAAAATCCCACCTGGCTGTCAGACCACTGGCACCCCAGAGAGGCATCTGGTTCCCTTGTGTCACTGCGCCTCCCCACACAACCCCTTCCTGGGCCAAGATCTGGGTGGTGGTGCCAAGATGTGACTACTGTTTAGGAGAGACTGCTCCAGCTCCCGAGAGAGAATGGGCTGAAGGTCCAAGGCAGAACCGCAGCCTTGAAGAGGCTCTGGTGAGAAGCCTGGCGTGACAGTGGCTCAGCTAGGGATTGTCACTGAGAGGCCAGAAGGACCAGATTTGGGGCGTGGTTGGGAAGAGGCTGTGCTAGGAACTGCTGGTGCCGCAGACAAGAAGCCCAAGAGCACCAACATCCCCGCCAGTGCCCAGGCCAGGTGCCGCACAGCCCAGTCCTCCTGTGCCCAGTCCCATGGAATCACTTCCTAAACCTCTTCTCTCTGCCCCCTCCCCGAATGACTGTGACCAGCTACAGGAACATCACACTGACCACCCTCCCCAGAGTCACCAGCTTTTACCAATTTGTTTCTTGTCCCATTGCCTTTTTTTTTTTGGTACAGGGGATCGAACTCGGGTCCTTGTGCTTGTGCAGCAGGTGGCGAAACCACTGAGCTAAATCCCTGGCCCCCCATTGCTTTATCTACCCGCCTACCTTACTGCGGGCTGACTACCTACCTACCTATCATCTACACACCTATCTGGTCAGGAGAATCTGTCAAAGCTGTCAGGACCCTGCCACGTGGCTCTCCCCCAAGAACAAGGCCACGCTCCTTCCGATCAGAGAGCCGCTGCCACACTCAGGAAAGACAACCCGATGCACCGTTCCATCTAACACACTCTCCACACTCTGATGGCCCAGCTTGTGCCTGGGTGTCTCTCAGAGCCTGTCTTCTCCCCCAGAGGCTGCACTCAGGGTCCCCGTGCTATCATGCCACCTCCCTAGCTCTGGAGTCTCTATTTGCCTCCACTGCTGGGGACGGAAGCCAGGGCCTCACACTTGCTAGGCCGGTGGCCACGGCTGAGCCACACCCCATGAAGCTATTTTGCAGAATGTCCCTCCATTTGGGTCAACCAATGTTTTGTCTGGGGTAGAAGCAGGTGCTACATATGAGCAGGAACTGGAAGGGAGGGGACGCTGGGCTGCCCCAGCGCCACATCGGGGGAGCATGACGACAGTTCATCCCACTCTGGAGGTACTGAGTGGCCACCTGGCTAAGGTAGAGTCTGTGGGAGCACCATCCCAGGGCTGCCCTTTTCCTGTATAATGCATAATCTGAGGTGATGCTTTGCACCTGTGAATATCCTGTCCCACCACCACCACCACTTTTGCCCAGAGACTTGGCCTTGGCCAGTGATTCCTGCCTGAACCAGGTACTGCTACGGTGGCCGAAATGCTCTCTTAACTGTTTCTACCTTGCAGCCTCACCCTGCTCTGGTTCATCCTTTGTTTCTTACCGTGGGAATCTTCCTAAGGCACAGAGTCAGTGACATCACTCTTTTCCCCCAAACCTTCCATGGCTCCTTACTACTTAGAGAAGAAAGTCTAACTCCCATCCATGCTCCAGCCCCAGTCACGCCTCCCAGGCTCTTCCTGGCTGTCCCTCAGCTACGAGTCACCCTTGGTCCTGACACCATCCCCTGAGGGTCTTCTGTCCTGCACAGCCCTTTGCTCACTTCTGTGCACTCCCACTTCTGTTCCTCCTCTGTCCTGGGGTCCTGTTCACCCTCCTGTCTGTCTGTTCTACTAGGTGACACACAACGCACCCCAGTGTCTGGTGTCTTTCCATGGTGCCACAGGAACACGGGCAGCCAGAACTGCCCATAGGGCCCGGAAGGGGCTATCCTGGCCCCATGTCCCCAAATCCTGTCTGTGCTGAAGATGGAGACCAGGCAGCAACACAGTGCAGGAGTTACTGAGGGTCCAGTGGGATAACGGCCAGTGTCCCCAGCCCGTGGGCCAGGGCTGACAGCAGCCTTCACCCTTCTCTGGAACAGTCACCTGATTTCCTTTGGGGACTCTCTTCTCCCCCCATCTCGGGTCATGAGGCTCACACAGGGCACTGATCCTGACCCCTAGGCTGGGCCCGGTGAGGACACTTCCTGAGACCTCAGCTCCATCAATAGGGAAGACTGTCTTCCTGTGGAAGAGGATGAGCAGGTGGGATACAGCCTGGCACTACAGATGGTCATCATGCCACCGTCCGGAAGAGTCTGGCTAAGAACGAAGCCACCACGGGGCATGGTGGTGCATGCCTGTAATCCCAGCACTCAGAAGGCTGAGGCAGGAGGATCACCATGAATTCGAGGCCACTCTTGGCTACACAGCAAGACCCTGTCTCAAAAAAATAAAAACAAAAATAAAGAAATAAGAAAAATATGCCACCTGCCTTGCAAGCGAAAGGTCCCAAGTTTGATCCCGGGTACCAAAAAAAACAAACCAAGAAAAAGAATGAGGCCACCTCAGAAGAAAGCAGAGCAGAGACTACCAGAGCAGAGACCACATTTCTAGTGCTGTTTGAACACCTGGATCCAGCCATACCTGAAGTCACATTCTTTTAGACCTTATATTTATGTGAGTCATTCTGTTCATGTCCATCCAGTTTCTGTTTCTTGCAACTTAAAGACCCTAACCCACTAGCTGTGAGGTATGTAGTTAAAGCAGGCACCATAGCACAACCTGTATGCTCCATAACCGTACAGGAATCTTTAGAGTTATTAAGACCAAGGGTGCCAAAGTAAGCCCCGCCCAGAGCTCTGGCCAGTGAGACATCTACTGGGGGGACCCAGGCCATCACCACACTATGGTCACAGGGACCATCCCAGCAGAAGGACTTACCCTCCTTTCTCTGGCCTTCGGAGTCTCTTCTCACAGGGGACTTGGTGACTCTCTGGGCACTGTCAGTTCTTGGCCCCTCCTGGGCCCTCCGAGGGATCATCATGGTGAGTTCGTCCTGGCTGGGGACCTTGTCCCGCCTCTCAACAGCGTGCCAGTCCTGCCAGGGAAGGGAGGAAACACTTTTTATTGGGAGAAGATGGTCCAGGGCCTATGCTCTCAGCCTGAGGGGTGGACGGTCACAGGGGACCTGGCATTTAAAGGGCACTTGCTGTGTGCCTGGTACTGTGCAGGCTCGTGGCAGGAGTCCCTTCCACCAACACTGGGGAGGAGCATGTCCACTGAGACCCAGAATGGGCCCGAAGTCCCACGGCCCGGAACCGTGGATTCCGATCCCAGCCCCACCACTGTCCAGCTGTGTGGCCGGCAAGTGGCTTCCCCTCAGCTCCAAACAGGCCATAATAGTCTCTAGGTCAGAGGGTGGGAGGAGCCTTCCCTGAGCCCACACCCAGCAAGTCCTTTGTACAGTGCCAGCCACACAGTGTGTGCCCAGGTTAGGTGGTTTTAGTTTAGTTTGGTTTGGTTTTTTAGACAGGCTCTCACTATACAGCCATACACTATCCTTGAACTTGTTATGTAGCCCAGGCTGGCCTAAATGTGCAATTCTCCTGTTTCTGCCTCCAGAGTGCTGGGATTTACCATGCCCAGCTGCAGGGTAGGTGGCTTATACTGAGGCCCCTCACTTCCAGTCATTTTCCTTTCAGGGGAGGGTTTCACAGGGCGGGCCTGGCTCTCCTGCCTGGTGACAGCCCCTCTGAGGGTCATGCCCAAGGGGAGCCCCAGTCCCTCCCAGCCCTGCCTCCAGCTCTGAGACTTAGTGTCAGCACTGGTCATGGGCCCAGCAGCGTGTGACCCAGGGCCCAGCCGGTCTTGCCATGGAGGTACCGCCCATCATCCCAGGCCTCTGAGACCAGAGAGTGCTTGGCAGAGTGAGCCGGCTGGTGACTCACCCAAGCTCCCTGTCACCTGAAACCCCCTCCTCCACCTCCTTCCCAGCAGAAGGGACCTCCCTGGGCCCCCAGGGCAGAGACTCCTGCCCCTTGGAATGGTCAGGCAGTGGTGCCAGAGGTGTGGCCCAATTTCCCGCTGTGAGAGGCTCAGCCCTCCTCCAGAGGTTTAGGGGGCCCCAGGACTAGGGATGGAGGCATGAGCTCCTCTTGTTATCCTGGCCCTGTCTCTCGCCCCCAGCTCACCACAGAAGACGAGTTGCTGGTATCATCAGGGATGTCACTGTCAGGGCCGGAGCTGGTGTCAGAGTTGGGGCTCTTGTCACAACTGTCACACAGAGAGGAGGCTGGGCTTTCCAAATTGAGCACTGCCTCAAGCCCCCCGTGCCCACTCCTGGGAACAGCTGTGGGGCCCTGGTCAGAAAGCCCTGCTATGGAGGACAAGACCCTGGGGGGAGAAACAGACTGGTGACTTTTCCCAAGGAAGTAACAGGGGATCAGGGAGAAACTCCAGCCCCAGCCAAACACACACAACACACACATACACGCACACACGCAGGCACTCCACAGGTGCCAGGAATTGGCCTGTTCCTGCAGAATGGGGAGCCACACCAAGGTCCCCAGAGCTGGGCTCTTTGGATAGACGAAGAACTATGGCTCAGAGAGGTCAAGACTCTGGCCAAGGTCACAGAGCTAGGAAAGGGCAGAGCTGGGCTGTCAACCAGAACAACCCAGATCCCAGCCCTGTCATCACAGGAGGGGTGGGGACCCCAAGCTCAGTAAGACTCAGGGATAGACTCATGGTAGGCTGCTGGGGATGTGCCAGCAGCTGGGCTCCCAGAGCAGCTATAGAGAAAGACTTGGTGTGGAGAAGCCCACCAGGGTGGCCACAGCTCACCTAACTTCCAGCTGGCAGTATCACCAAAGGGATCCACAGATTGGCCTAACAATGGCAACGGGTGATGGCCATAGAAGAGTTCTGTAGACAAAAAACTTGGGGACATACTACATATTTCTTACCTCTTCTATCTAAATTTCACGATGCCACCTGCAAACTAAATGCTCTAAGTCCTGAGGGAGGATGATCAACTTCATTTATCCCACACTGTCTGAAACATATTTGGTTGTAGTTTGATAGCAGAGCTCTCTTTTTTTAAACTGAACCAAAGGCCTTTGCATTGAGCAAAGATGGGGTCTCATTAAGTCACTAAATTGCCCGGGCTGTGCTTGAACTTGTGATCCTCCTGCTTCAGCCTCCTAGAGTGCTGGGATTACAGGTGTGTGCCACCACAACTGGCTACCAGAGCTTTTTTTTTAATTCTTTTTTTTTGGTACCGGGGATCGAACTCAGGTCCTTCTGCTTTCGCAGCAGGTGGCGAAACCACTGAGCTAAATCCCCGGCCCTTTTTTTTTTTTTTTTAAATAATCCTTCCCTGTAAGGAGCACACATTCCCAAAGTAACGCCAATTTGATTCAAACCCCTCACACTTTTTTTTTGGTAGTGCTAGGAATCAAATCCAGGCCTCACACATGCTCCACCACTCAGCCACACCCCCACACCCCCAGCCCCCAAGTCAATCCCTCTTACTTTAGAAACAGGGAAAATGAGGCATAGAAAGATGCAGTGCCCTGCCCAAGGTCCCATAGCCCATAAGGGACAGATGTGGAGCTGGGACCCAGGCTTCTGGACCCTCAGGCCAAGCCCTTCTGAGATCCCATGACTCAAAGGTGTTCAGGCCAGTGCAGGCCTGTGGTGGAGGAACCCAAAGTCTGGAGCCGTAGGAGTGACAGCGGGTGCCCGGGATGAGGGGACTGTGAACTCTTAAAGCTGCACAAAGGGAGCCAGGGAATGTGACAGCTGCTCTCACCTAGTAGCATGGCTGAGCCAGGTCCTGGGGAGGCAGGGGGTGGGCAGGGCCTTCAGGAAAGACAGCCAGGGTTGGGGACAGTAAGCTCAGAGACTCAGGAGCAAAAAGGGGCAGTCCAATCTGACAGTTGGGCCCGAAGAACATGCCCACTACCCGCCTGTGCCCAGACTGCCTGGTCTGTGCACATGACCCATGCCAGCAGCCACCACACAGACGCTGTCACCTTGCAGGGGTGGAGTGGGAGGTGTGAGCACCCTTCCTTAGGCCCTGGGGCTCTACCCACCTTTCAGACCCCTGCCTGAGGCCCGGGCCCACCACAGGCTGGAAGGTGGAGGTTTCGGTGCTGAGCGTGTCCTCAGGGGCAGGCGGGCATCGGGGCAGGTCGCAGTAGGGTGGCTCGGCACTTGGAGGGCTCCCCGGCTCCTTGGAGAGAGGAGGCAGCTCAGGCCCACGTGGGGTCCCCTCCCCTCACGCCCCTCCCAAGGGCGGGGTGGGATCTCCAGACATCTTCTCCTGGGATCTCACCCACTCGCTTTGCTTGAGGAGAGCTGCCATGGGGCTGGAGGCACCCTGGGGACCGGAGCTGGGGGCTGGCAGGGGTCCTGGCGGGCGAGTGTGGATGCATGTTTACATGGACAGGCTTAGGAGCAGGTACTCATGTTCATAAAGGCATGTCTGCACACAGGTGTGGAAGTGGGTGTGCAAACACCCATGCACATGTAAGCAGCTCCCTCAGGTACACCTGCGCATGTTTATGTAAATGCCACAAGTTCACTTAAGAGCGTGCCCACATGTGAGTATGTGAGGCACCCAGAAGGCCCCCAAAAAGCATCAGTGGTAGCCTGAAGTCCAGGGGGAGGAGGAAAGATTACGCTGGCCTGGAGCGCAGGGGCCATCTGAGGGAGGCAGAGCTAGTTTGACAGGGGAAGAGATGGGAAAGCATGACCCTGGGCGAGAGGTTTGCCCCTCTACAGCCCCAGGGGTGAGGATGGGCCCTTCGGTGCTCGGCTTCTCCCTCCTGCCCGCACAAGGCCACACCTGCAAGCCTGGTGCCCAGCTCATCAGGGGGAACGGCTGCTCACCTCCGGGAAGGCACCCCTTTGCCCCCACCTGTTGGAGTGGCAGGGCCCTCCCCTGGTGGTGGGAGACCAGGCCATGGCACCCTTCGTCCCGCCCCCTCTCGAGTTACCTGGGCAGCAGGCTCCAAAGGCAGTGGTGGTGCTGGCGGCTGTCAGCACCCTCGTCCCCCGGGGGCTCCGGCTCAGGCCCCCACACTGCCGCCCTCCCAGGCCCGACTCTGGGCTGTGGTGATGGTGCTGGCCGAGGCAGCGGAAACCCTAGATGGGCCGGCTTCAGGAGCAGGGGCCCCTCATTACTGTTTCATAAGCCAGGGCCCAGCCAAGAACAATGTGGGACATGAAACCCAGGAATCTGATCCCAGGCAATCACCTGAGAGCCAGGCCGGTGGGAGCCTGGCCACCCAGGCTCCCTGGGGACCCTGCAGCCCGGAGTCCAGGGCTGAGGCTGCAGCCTGGTCAGTGCCCCGTGGACAGAGCTTCCTCAGGATCTCCACAGGCCACCAATGGCTGGGGTGGGGCTGGGCCGAGGACAGGGTCTGGGTGTCTGCTGCGACATCCAGGCTGAGAGGCCTGCCTGGGTTTGGTTTCACCCCCCTGCCCTGCAGCCAGATTCTGATCAGGGCCCGGCAGCAGGAGGTGTCAGATCCACAGCCGGGCCTGGCACTGTGGCCACCCAGGGGACAGGATAGCATGAGAGAGAACGGAGCAGCTTGCCAGGCAGCACCCAGGGGTCCCGGCCCAGGAGGACCGTGAGCCTGACACACACTTCATCCTCAGTTTCACCCCAGCCCAATCAGGCCCACACCCCACCCAGCCCAGCCTCAGTCCCTGGCTCTGATTTCCTGCCTGGCAGTCAGCACAGGCCCTGGCCCTATGTGGGCCTGGGTTCTGTCCCAGCTCCTCCAGGTCCCAGCTGAGTGACCTGGCCCAGTTGCTTCCTCTCTCTGAGCCCTGCTGTCCTGGAAATGGAGGCGGAAGGGTGACAAAGACCTTGGCCAAGTGGCTTGTCCCGTTTGTCCCTCAGTTATGTCATGTGTAAAACTGGTGTGACAGGAGCCCCCTCCCAAGCATGTTAAGAGAATTAAATGAGCTAGTCTTTGCTTCGAACAGCTTATTATAGAATCTGGTCTGTACATCTTAAATATAATAAATGATGATAGAACATTAAATTAAATTGTATGCATGTTAAATTAGTAGAATAATGGTAAATACAACTGGGGCCAGGGATTTAGCTCAGTGGTTCCACTACCTGCCTTGCAAGCGCAAGGTCCTGAATTCAATCCTCGGTACCAAAAAAAAAAAAAAAAAAAAAGCTTGGGTGTTGCCTGGGCAACTTATCAAGACCTCGGTTTGGTCTGGGGATTTACCTCAGTGGTTCCAGTGCCTGCCTTGCAAGACGAAGGACCTGATTTTGATCCCCGGTACCAAAAAAAAAACAAAAAAAAAGACCTTGTTTCAAAATAAAAAATTTTTAAGGCTAGAAATGTAGCTCAGTGTGAGGGCCCTAGGTTCAATCTCCAGTGCGGCAACCAATCAATCAATTGAAAAGGGAGGTATGTGGTGTGTGCCGGGGATTTAGCTCAGTGGCACAGCACCTGCCTGGCAAGTGTGAGGTCCTGAGTTCTATCCCCAGTACAAAAAAAAGAAAAGGGAGGTGTGGTGCTAGCACTCCCTCCCTCCCTATGAGCCTGCAGGAGACCTGGGACCAGTCAGGGCCATGTGACATCCAGGGCTGACCCTTTCCCCACTCCCAGCCTCTAGGGTATCTGGCCACGAGCAGAGCAGGGACAGGCGCAGGGCCCACAGCCTCCAGAAGCTGTAGCTCACTAGGCATTTTGATGAGCAGTTGGTCAAGAGCCAGTCATTCTTGGAGGGGAGAGGGGATACCCTGGGGCCATTTCTGCACATTCTAGGGTAGCTGAAGATGCCGGACTGGGATCCAACCCTGCTTCTTTGCACCCAAGTGTGAGAAGAGACTCAGCGGGAACTGCACAGCTTGGTCAAGGATGGGCAATGCCTGCCCCCCTCTAGGGATTGAATCCCCATCCCCAGATCTTCTCTTTTAAAAAAAATTTTTTTTTGGTACCGGGGATCGAACTCGGGTCCTTGTGCTTGCACAGCAGGTGGCAAAACCACTGAGCTAAATCCCCAGCCCGCTCTTTTTAAAATTTTGAGATAGGGTCTCACTAAATTATCCAGACTGGCCTTGAACTCATGATGTCGCTTCCTCAGCTTCCAGAGTAGCTGGGATTATAGGCTTGCACCCAGCACCTAGCAGGAGGATTTTGTTGTTGTTTTATTTTGCTTTGTTTTTTGAGATAGGGTCTTGCTATGTAGTTCTATGTAGGCTGGCCTTGAACTCACTATGTAGCCCAGGCAGGCCTTGAATTCACTGCAATCCCCCTGCCTCAGCCTCCCAAGTGCTGGGATAACAGGAGTGCACCACCACACCTGGTTCACCAGGGGGATATTTTTAAACTCACAGATTTTTTCATTCCATGTTTGAAATCCCTTGACTGTAGGAGCAGATTGGTATGCTGTCACATGCCTGTAATCTAGCACTCTGGGAGGCTGATGCAAGAGGATCACAGGGCCTGGGATGTAGCTCAGTGGCACCAAGCCTGCCTCAAAAGTGCAAGATCCTGAGTTCAAGCCCCTGTATTCCCCTACCCCCCCCAAAAGAGGATCACAAATTTGAGCCCAGTCTAGCCATTTAAGTGACTTAATGAGACCCTGTCTCAAAAATTTAAAAAGAGGGCTGGGTGTGTCACTCAGTGGGAAAGCGCTGGGTTCAATCTCTAGGTACCACAAAAACAAACAAACAAAAAAGATAGGACCAAATAGGGCCAAAGTTCCAGAGTCCCTGGAAGAAGACCTAGCTAAACTTGGTTCCACGTAAGCTGGGCATGGCAATGCACATCTGCAACCCCAGCACTCCAGAGTCTGAGGCAAGAGGATCACTGCAAGTTCAAGGCCAGCGTGAACTACACAGGGAGATGCTGTCAAGGAAAACAAAACAACGACAAAACCCTTGGTTCTCAGGAGACTTGGAGAGATGGGAGAGAAAGGACACCCCTACCTCAGCAGCAGCACCCAAAGTCAGGGCACCCGGTTCCCTGGGGTATAGAGCAGGAGGAATCCACCATTCCTTCCATACCTAACCTTGGAGCACCAGGTAACGGGGCCCAGAGCAGCAGCTGGGGTGGGCAGGGAGGGGGACAGAAAGTCCTGTAGAGGTGACTGCCATCTTCTGGGGCCAGGCCTAGTTGTTTTTTTAATCTTTTTTAGTTTTCATTTTTTCTTGGTCTAGAGGATGGAAGCCAGGGCCTGCCACTGAGCCACATCCCAGCCCAGAGGCAGTAATCCCATCTGGTACACAGAGAACTGTGTCGCGCCTGGAGCTGGCCCTCAGTTCTGCCCCATTCACCCTCAGTGTCGGCAGCACTCAGGGGATGGCATTGGAACAATGGCAAGCTAAGGATCTGATCCTGAAACCATCTCTCCCTGTCCCAGATGGAGCTGTATCCGCCTCCTGTGACAGACAGGTGGTTATCAGCTGACTCTTCTGGGTGCGGCTCAATGGTGCTGTGAGTGCCAGGCCCTGGTTCCATTCTCAGCTCCCGGGGAAAAACGTCGTGACTCCCAGGCCTCCCCTCTTCTCACTCATGACCAAGATTTTCACCAGTGCCAGATCCTGATGGCGAGGGAGCCTTTATTTCCTGTCGCACTCTCACCTCAAACAGGGGCCCAGGCCATTAATAGCCTCCCGGCGTCTGCACCGAGTCACCCTCACCATGGCCCTTCACAGAGAGTATGAAAAGTGCAGACTGATTGCACAGCCACTCCCCGGTTTAAAATCCTTAGCAGTTCCCCATGACTCTCAGGATAAAATCTGAAGTCCTTGGCATGTCCCTAAAGCCCCCCAGGCCCTGTCACTTACCCTCATGCCATGTGCAATTCTCTTATGAAATTTATTACAGCCACAATGAAGTAATCATCTGGATGATTACTTTCTTACTCCCCATTTCCCTTGTTGCCCACCAGCCTCAAGAAGCTAGGGATGTGTGTCTTTATCACTATTCCCCTGTACCCCGCACAGTCCCTGCGCATTTTCAGCACCTATTCAAGGTATAAAAAAATGTGCCATGACTCAAGCTCTTAGGTAGGGAATAGCAGGCCCTAGGCTGGACCTCAGGACCCTCTGGATCCAGGCTCCTCCTGCTCCACACTGGGAGAAAGTCCTGTGCTTGGGAGCTGGACACACAGGCCTCTCCAGTATCTGTTCCCTGAGCTTGGGGCAGGGGAAGGGGAGCTGTTATTGGAGGTCTCAGAATCTCAGGTAGAAAGGAACTCTAAGGGGTCTTTTCTGGTCAGGAAGGGGGAAGAGAGGAAACTACATGGCAGGAATGAGCTGCTTATGGCTTGGGCTCAGCAGTGCCAGCTGTCGGGGGTGAGGAGCCTGCCACCCCTATCAACCAGGAGGAGAGTTAGCCAGAGGTGGCATGGCAGGGAAATGGCAAACCCATGGCTACAACTCAACAGCCACCTCTCAGAGCCTGACCCTCTGTGGGAAGCTGGATGCCAGGCACAAAAAGAGGAAGCCCCAGCCCTCTGGGCATGGCAGAGCCATAGGGGTCAGGGCTGGAAGGGCCCCTGGAGAGTCACAGGTCCCACACATCCCAAGGAGTGGGTGCCAGATGCTCTGGGTTGGTGTGTACGGGGCTTGGCATTCGACAACATCGCTTACACAGTGAACAACGACTCCTCTTTCACTCCTCCGGCAACTTCACGAAGAAAGTGATCATTGGGTGCTGGTGTCTTTAACACCTCCCTAGTATCTGCTAGTACCTGCTTTTAGACGAAAGACATCGGGGTCAGGCTGAGTGCCTTCAGCAGACAATTTAATGACATTTCTGTCTTGTCTTTCCTTTTTCTAGATTTCTTCTTTCATTTCTAACCCCTGAACATGATCTTAATTTCTACATTCAGAACATGATCTTAATTTTCTATGTGTGGTGGTAACATAAAGGTTTGTTTCATATAAGTGAAAAAAGGATGTTGATTTTGGGCCTCAGGGTGTGGCTCAGTGGCAGAATGTGTGCTTAGCATTCACAAGGCCCTAGGTTGGATCCCCAGCACCCTATAAAAGGATATTGATTGAAACAATACAGCACTAGATGAGGCTAGATTACTGTACACACAGGAGGAAGGTGATGGAAGATATTAACACGGTCCATTCACCCCATTTTATGGGTAGGAAAAAAGAGCATTGGTCAGGAGGAGGCACCTGGCTTCAAGTGCAAGTTCATGCCCTAACCCAACCCGACTCCCCATCCCAAACTGCCCTGGAAAGCAGGCCCACCTGGTGCCTTGCTCGGTGGACCTCCTCAGGGTGGAAGCAGTTTTGACAGTGGCACTGGGAAAGCATGTTGGTCTCGAAGCGTTCACATAGTGCCTTCCCAGCCATCTCCATACTGGTAAGCCAGGCCAGGGCAGCTCCTGAGACCTGAGAGCTGACAACTCTGTAGGGGGACCTGGGGAGGATCAAGGTGGGGGCAAGGAGCAGATAACCGGCTGGCTACCCACATGGACCTCAGCCCCAGTTTCCCCAGGCCAGACAAGGACCAAGACATAAGATTATCCATCCACTCATCTGTTCATCTACTCACTCACTCAACAAACACAAACGCCTACTGAGCACCCAGACACATCACCAAGCATTTGATGTGTGATTTCTAGTACTTACTGCAGTGTTGTTTAAAGTGTGTTCTAATGACCCTGCATTACACTCTTCTGTGCTGCTCATAAGAATGCAGATTTCCAAGCAGGTATGGTATTGCATGTCTATAGTCCCAGTTACTTAGGAGGCTGAGGGAAGAGGATCACTTGAGCCTAGGAGTTCAGGACCAGCCTGGGCAACAAACAAGGCCACTTTGTCTCTAAAAAGGAAACAGGGCCAGGGATTTAGCTCAGTAGTTTCACCACTGAGTTCAATCCCGGGTACTAAAAAAATAAAATAAAATAAAGAAACAAACAAAAAACAAAGCAGATTCTGCATTCTTTCTCCTGATCCACCCAGTCAGACTCTCCAGGGCATGAGGCCTGGGAGTGTGCTATTTAAACAAGTCCCTAGCCTAGGTGATTTCAATGTACTCCAAAATTTGGCTGACTCTGCCTGATAGCACCTTGGTATTGTAGATCAAATTAATGGCAATTTCAGATCAGGCAGCTAAGGCTCAGAGAGGTTCCCTAACACCCAAGGGCACACGGCTGAGCTGGATTCAAACCCAGGTCTTTGGTAGGTGTGGTGGCGCACACCTGTGCTCCCAGCAGGCTGAGCCAGGAGGATGGAGAGTTTGAGGTCAGCCTGGGCTGCACAGTGAGACCCTATCTCAAGAAATAGTGTCTCAAAAAATAAGAGAAATAGGGTCTCCAACCTAATCATCCAACAAAAACCAAATCTGGGTCTGTGTGCCTCCTCCTCTTGGAGCTGGAAGGGAAGGACACAGGATCAAAGTGCCAACTCCCACAGGTCCCTTGAGAAATACAGGGGTAAGCAAAGGCTGGCCAGGTGTTCCCAGAGTTGAGGTCAAAGTCTTAGACAAAAGTGTCTGTTACAGAGCTTAGCCAACAAGAAACCCTGCTGTCTCGACCTGAGCCAGGGCTCCAAGGTCCAAGCCCTGAGTGACTTAAGGATCCCCCCCATCCAGAGAGTCCAGGCAGGAGAGGGGCAGGGCAGGCACCCAACGCACAAGCACCCATCGAACCCAGGCCCTCCTGTACCTATCCTGCCCGGTGAATTTCTTCAAAAGCTCCCAAAGCTGAGGCTTTGTCGCCAATCTCAGCAGAACGCTGAGGAATTTCGCATCCTTCCCAGGGGCAGCCAGGGGAAAGCTCCAGCTCCTCCACCTGGAGAGGGGCGCCCCAGGGGTCAGGGCACGATGAGATGTGGCATCGCCCGTCCCTCGGTGGCACCAGGGTCTCCAATCCTCCCTGGGAGGTCATCTCCCCTTCTCGATCCCTGCCCACCAACCAGGGCGGTGCTTTCTCCATCTGGACACATAAGACCATCGCCTTGGACAGAGAACCGTGGCCCATTTCCCTGGGGATCGTGGGGGGGGGGGCTCTATTCCACGTGACCCTTGCTGCTCCTCTTTCCTCACCCACCCCAACAAGTTGGCAGAATCCTTCCCTGAAATGCGGGTTAGTTGTGGAAATAAGAAAAACCTTCAGCTCCATCCCGCCCTGCAGCCAATTCCTCCCCGGTATCCTACCCCTCCCTCGGCATTCCCTCCCCGCCTGCTCCCCTCCCTCGGCATTCCCTCCCCGCCTGCTCTTTGTCAGCCCCGTACTAACCTCGGCTCGGGTTTCCACGCGCAGGGGATGTGGCGGTGGGAGTGCCAGGGTCACGGGCTCTTTATTTTAACAATGAATCAAAAACGTTGCCTGGGAGGTGGGTGGGAGACCACGCCCCTGCGGTGGTTCTCCATAGGCTCGCTCTAAGAGCTTCATTTACATGAAGACTGTGGGATTGGGCCAGAGGAGGATAAGGGGCGGGGCAGAGGTGGGCGGTGCAGAGATGGGTCCGAGCGCGGGCCTAGCCGCAAGTTTAACCTAGGCAGGCCCCCGGCCCACCCCTGGCCCAGCCGGGATCCCAGGGGCCCTGCAATTGCTGGGCGGGCGGATCTGGCCTCTTCCCACTCTTTCCCATTGCGTCATTCAGGCTCCAGTCCGCTAGGCTAGCTTTAGCCCGGACCTTGGCCTGGAAACGTTACCTTTGCGCTTGTTTGCCGGATTAAAGTGCCTGCGAGGATGAAGAGAAATAGTTTCAAGTAAAAAGCAAGATATGGGTTTAGCAGTTGTGATCTCAGCGCTCCGGGAGGCTGAGGCAGGAGGATCAAAAGTTCGAGCCCGGGCCGGGGATTTAGCTCAGTGGTTTCGCCGCCTGCTGCGCAAGCTCAAGGACCCGAGTTCGATCCCAGGTACCAAAAAAAAAAAAAAAAGTTCGAGCCCTGCTTGGGCAATTTAGCAATTTAGTGAGATCGTGTCTCAAAAGAAAAAATAAAAGGGTTGGGGATATAGCTCAGTCAGAAGGCCCTGGGTTCAATCTCCAGTACTACAAAGAAAAAAAAAAAAGAAGAGTTTAGGCGCCTGCTAAATGCTGAATGGATGCACGGTGCTAAAACTATACTGTGTTAGTATTCCAGACAGGGCCTCCAGGACCACCAACCATCTCTGCCCACAGGGGTTCAACATTTGCACATTTCCATTTCCACTGCCTTGGAATCACTCACAAAATGCACCCCCCCCACACACACACACTTGGCCTCTTTAAGGGCCCATTTATTTGGCACTGTCTATATGGCAGCTTCTATTCCAAGTCTTCACACCCTTAAAGACACTGTAGTAACATGAAGCCCCAAGTACCAAGGTCCCCATTTCACAGCAACTGAAGATCAGAGAAGTTAACTTACTTGCTTGCCTATGTCACACAGCTTAGTAAGTGGCAGAGTCAGGGCTCAAACCCTTTATTTGCTAATTTACTGGTGCATGTGAGGGGGATGTCGGGCGGGGGGAGAAAATATGAATAAAATGTGGCTCCTTCTAGGATGAGGTCCCATTGGCTAGGGGGAGAGACAAGCCCCTGAACAGGTCAGCCTAGCTGAGCATGGCTAAAGCACAGCTTCTGAACAAGGACAATGAGCTTCCTGTTTCGTCTCTTCCTGTAAGCAAGACAGAGAGGCTAGTGATACCATGTTCAACGTCTGGCTGCGTGACCTTAAGAGATTTACTTGCCCTCTCTGAGCCTGGGACAGACTGTGTATTTGGATGACTATGAACCTGGGGTGTAGCCCCACCACTCTGCCCCCTGAACCAATTCAGGATGTCCCCTCCGACAGTTCCATCCACTAAGTATCCACAGGGTGCCCACCTCATCAGCTGTGTGTGCTGAGCATCCATCAGCACACAAAAGCCCACGTCTTCTTCTGTGGTGCTTTCGTCGTTGGAGAAAAACCAACCCAAGCCAAGATCAATAAGCAAACATGCATGGGCCAGGGATTTAGCTCAGTGGTTCCGCCGAGCACCTGGCAAGCACAAGGACCCAAGTTTGATCCCTGGTACCAAAAGAAAAAAAAGAACAAGCAAACATGCAGCATGTTGCAGATGCAGAGGAGAAAGTAAAGAAGGGGAAAGCACAGGTGGGCAGGCAGGGCACACTGCGGTGGCTGGTGACACTGGACAGAGACCAGAGGTGCAAGCCGGAGCAAAGTGTCTCAGCTGGCTGAGGGGTCAGAAAGGGAGGCTGGGTGGAGAGCAGGAGGGGATGGTGGAGGAGTGGAGCAGCCAGGCAGGCGCCTGAGCTTGGCTGTGGAGCTGTTGTTGTTTTTTTTGTTTTTTCCAGTACCAGGGATTGAACTCAGGACCTTGTGCTTGTGAGGCAGGCACGGGGCCACTGAGCTAAATCCCCGGCCCTTGGATGGGCGCCTTGTGACACAGGAGGAGGGTGGGTGGCAGACAGCAGCTAGATCTGAGGAGGAGAGGACTGGGAGGGGCGGGGCCAGAGGAGCTAAGGGAGCAGTGGGAAGTCCCCTCTTGTGGGTGGGTGATGGAGATATCGAGGCTGGAAGGGTTCTTAGCAACTTAGTAACCTGGGGGTGGTAGCCCCTGCTTTGCCTAGACCTTAGGCATCCTCCCAGTGCATGTTTGTACCCATGCCAGCCAGCAAGTGGCTCCTTATCCCATTGTTCTATTGGGGAGGGGGCTTGAACCCAGGGCCTTTACACTGAACTCTTCTATCCCTGGTACCTTTTTTATTTTGAGACAGGGTTTCCCTAAATTGCTAAGTTACCCAGGCTGGGCTTGAAATTGTGATCCTCCTGCCTCAGCCTCCATCTTATCAAAGGGAAACACAGGCTCAGATGAATCATCACTTGATGACAGTCTGGTTTAAGAACCACCCTCCAGAGCTCTGTGGGATGGCTCAGGGGTTCACCATAGCAGCCAGGGCAGAGCCAGCACTTGCTACCATGGAGTTGCATCCTCAAATCCCCCTTCTCTTCTGTGGATTCTGAATGTGTTCATCTCCATGCCTTTGCTCCTGTCCTGTGCATCCACCTCAGCTGCCCACCCTGTCCTCAGAGATCTGGGACAGTGGAGTGACTCCTGATAGTCCTGGCCTGGCTGTACCCTGCCGGGTCCTAGTAGGGAGACACAGTCATACCCAGCCTGCCCGGCCCACAAGCCTGTGGGAGAAGCCAAGAACTCAGCCAGGCAAGGTAGAGTTACAGGGCCTTCGGGCCCATGGAGCAGGGGCAAGGGGCAGGGATCTAGCGGGGTCTTCTGGGCTGACTCCTGGCCCACGGCTACGACAAGAACCAAAGATTGCTCTGGGCCACTGCAATATTGACATCTCCACACAGGCAACCTGCTCCAGGAGAGGTGAGGACCATGTCTCGTCAGCCACCGCCATTACTTCCCCTGAGATTCTTTCTTCTCTGTCAAATGGAGCTGATGCACACATGATGCTGTTGTGCACTAGTATGTGATTATCTGCCATAACCAAAGTGCTTGATAAAAAAAATGTGTGCAGTCTTTTTTTTTTCTTTTGTGTTTTTCCAGAACTAAGGACTGAACTTGAGCCTGATAGGAAACTGCAGGTCACAGAACGACATTCTTAATTTTTTTTTGAGACAAGGTCTTTTTATTTAGTTCAGGCTGGCCTCGAACTCACAGTGATCCTCCTGCCTCAGCCTCCCAAGTGCTGGGATCATAGGCATGCCACACCTGGCTCTTAGCCCTTTTAAAATTTTATTTTGAAACCAGGTGCCTTCCTCAGCCTCCTGAATTTCTGGGAGAACCATGTGAGACCGTGGGCCCCATTTTCTTGCTTTTTCAGCTGGTATTTGCCAATCGTGGTGACTGGAACAAAGGGAGTGAACAGCGACGCTCCTTGGATAGGGAGGACAGTTACAACAGGAGCACAGGAAAGTCGGGGAAGGGGATGGAAAGAGAGGACAGATTCAGGCACTTGCAGACAGGGGGATGTGGCACCAGGGGCAAGAAAATTCTAGATTATTTCGAGGGCTGTTTGGGAGCATGTGGCAGGGAGGATAGGTCCCACGTGACAAGCCAGCACTGGCTGAGAACCTGGGGTGACACAGCCCTGTGACAGCAGCAGAACATGGAAATGGCTAAGGTCCAACTTCTCAGAAAGCTTACTGTCCAGCTGGGGCCACAGCCCTTCCGGGCCACAACATGCTCCATGTTTAACCGAAGGGAACCAGAGGGAGAAATGCTTAGCTCTGCCTGGAGAAAGGTGGGCTCAGGGAAGGCTGCTCAGAGCAAGTGCTTGAAGGTGAGGGTGTGAGGACAGCTCTGGGATCTGCCTGCCTCGACCTGAAGGGCTGAGCTGGACAGAGGGGGCTGTTAATCAAAACCCACTCAACACAGGTGGTGAATTCGGGCTTGGAGGCACACACCTGTAACCCCAGCACTCTGGGAGGCTGAGGTGGGAGGATCACAAGTTCAAGCCCAGCCTAAGTAACTCAGACACCTAGCAAAGCCCTGTTTCAAAATTAAGAATAAAGGGCTGGGGATTTAGCTCAGTGGCACTGTGCCTGCCTTGCAAGCCCAAGGTCCTGAGTTCAATCTCTGGTACCGAAAAAAAAAAAATCTACAACAAAATTGAAAATAAAAAATTAAATAAACAAAAAGGCTAAGGATGTAGTTCAGTTTGAAGGCCCCAATTCCAATCCCCAATACTGGAAAGGCAGTGAGCTCTCCACACTCAGGATGAACCAGGAAGCCCTCGCCAGGGCCGCCTGCACCAAAGGATGGTTGGCAATTCACAGCAGGGGCACTGAACCCTCCGAGGCCCCTGGGATCCTGGGAGGACAGAGGCAGAGCCTCTCCCACAGGAACCCAGAGTCCTCCAGGTCCTGCCCTCACTGCCAGCAGGAAGTAAGGAGAGAACACTCCTTGCTGAGCCCAGCTCCTGGTACTACAGCTACTAGCCATTCTAGCACAAGCCCAACCTGTCAGGATCCCCTTATGTGTTTGGGTGTGGGGGAGAATATGCTGCTCGCACCCTGAAACCCTTTTTCCCCTTGGTTAGCAACACAATTCTCTATTTTCACCCAGGTACTTCATTTCCCAGAATAGCCTGGAGTTGCCAGGTTCTCTTGCAGCTAGGAATCCTCTCCTTGGCTTCTGCTTCGCCCACAGTGTATGACAAGGATCAAAGGTTTTTAAAAGACATGCTGAGGCCTGGGGATTTAGCTCAGTGGTTTTGCCGCCTGCTGCGCAAGCACAAGGGCCCGAGTTCGATCCCTGGTCCCCCCCAAAAAAGTTAAAAGACATGCTGAGCATGGTGGTACACACCTGCAACCCCAGCAATCAGGAGTCTAAGGTAGGAGGATCACCATGAGTTCAAGGCCAGCTTGAACTATATAACAAGACCTTACTTCAGGTAAAATAAAATAAAGTAATAAATAAATAGAGGGTCATGTCCTTCATCCTTTCTTCTTGACTGAAAAGCAGATCAGATGGCTGTAGTTTCACCAGCCATCTTAGCCCATGAGGCAGAAGCCATGCGTCAAATACAGCACAAAAGAAAGAGCTAAAAGCCTGCAGCAAGCTCTCCAGCCTTCCCAGCTCCAGGCTGGTAAGTGCCTACTGATCAGTCCGAGAATTCCTCTCATGTAAGCCAGGTGCTTCTGTCTCCTTAGATACTGTATGCAGCTCTACCCCACCCTTCTTAGTGAGAATCCTAGTGGCCGGCCCAACCTCAGCCCCAGACAACAAGGAAGCACCCAGGTGCAGGGCTCAGGAGGGCCTTCTGGGAGAAGACTCGGGGTCTCCAGAGGGTTCGGATACCACCACCCGAGCCCAAGACAGGCCAAATTGCTGTGACTCAATTTCCCAGGAGCTGGAAAAACCATCACACAGGAGTAGAAGATGAGATTTAATAAACACGACAGCCCCAATGTCCCTGAGTGAATGACACTGGAGAGTCTAGAAGGGGTGTGGCCAGGGGTCCCAGTGCTGTGGGAGGTAGGTGCTGCCCAGAGTCCCATCTCAGCCTCCTGTCATCTTCCTGACATTGAGCGGAGGACAAGGAGGTACCAGGGACAGAAAGGCCAGAGCTGTGAGGCCAGGCCCAGGGGCCTTGCATTCTGTGCCCATCACCCGCTTTCCAGAGCAGCAAGTGGACTCTGGGTTCCAAAATGACCTCACTGTCCCTTCAGGGAAACTACTGGAAACTGAGATGGACCCTCAGCCCCCGACATTTCCATCACCCAGAGCCTGCCCATGGTACATGGTGTCAAGGCCAAGGACAAACAAGACACATGCACACACGTGTTGTGTCCCCAGTCTGTGTCCCTGGTGCAATGACTAGAAGAGACACCAAGATGGCTCTGCAGGCGCCCTCTGGGGACGCTCCCCATGTGGGGTTCACACTCAGGTGGCCTTGAGCACAGATGGCCAACAGTCTAGGACAGGGAGGTCCTGGCTTCCCAGGCTCAGGCCATGGGGTCACCACTTCATGTGGCTGGGTTACAGGGACAGCCACGCTGTGACACCCCTGGGGCTTGAGGCTCACTCCGCGCTGTGCCGTGCCCGGCCAGTCAGTCGGCGGCGCTGGGTCTTGGTGGTGCGAGTGGCACTCGGGGGCTTTTTGGTGGAGTTCTGGGCCTGCCGGGGATGTTTCCGCTTCACCTTTTTGCAGCTGTGCGCGTGCAGTGATGCTGTGAGGTTGGAGATCCTGCAGGAGGGTGAAGGCTGGTGAGGCCAGGCCTGTTTACCCCAGGGAACAAGGTTGGGAGGGAGGCTGGCCAGGGGCTGAGTGGTTTTCTGACTCACGGAGGGTAAGGCAGAATAGGCCCCAAATGCCCAGAGCACAAAATGCACCCCAGTTGGCCTTCCCTGACTCGACAGCCCGCCAGCCCCACAGCTGCCCACACCACCCCCAGGGGCCAGCAGGAAGTGGCTCCATAGGCCTACTCAGCAATGGCAGCCCTGGAAGTGGGACCTCAGCAAACGACAGGCAGGGCTCACCGCTGAGACAGCAGGGGGTCTTTGGACTTCCTGGGTAAGGCTTTGGTTGGCTTCTCCACAGACGACGCCTCCTCCTTTGGCTGGTCCTCAGCACCTTGCTAGGGAAGCACAGGACAAGAACAGTCATAGAAAGCAGATGGGGCCTGGGCTGGGGCCACAGGAGGCTTTGGGCAAAAGAACCCTGTGTCTGTCCTAGAGCCAGTGTCACAGAGTAGTCAGCGCTGGCTCCGGACCCTCCCCTGCCTCTCACTAGCTCCCAGCAGGCAGAAAGCCAGGTGACAGGATTTGGCTTTGCAGGAGGGGCACAACATGGACTGTTGAGTATGGGATGGGGATGAGTAAGGATTCAGAAGGCAGTAGCTTCAGGATGTAAGGACCCAGCAGCCAGGGGAGGAAATGCACCTTACACTGTTATTACGCACACACAGCCCTCCCTGTCCAGTAGTCAGATTCAACCACCCAGATGGAAAATACTCAGGAAAACACCATTGTGCCTATACCAAGTGTGTGGCCTCTCTGCGTTATTACTCCCTAGCAACACAGTATAACTGTCATTTACGTGGCGTTTACATTGTCTTAGGTGTCATAAGTAACCCAGACCTGATTTCAAGTATATGGGAGGCTGGACATAGGATCTATGGAAACCCCACACCAGCAGTAACAGATTTCCATATCCGAGGAGGTCCTGGAACCAATCGTGCATGGTTATCAAGAGGCAGATATACACGTCTATAAAGTCACACACACCTGACAGACCCAACTAATGGAAACAGGTGCATGATGAAGCTGGCCATTGTGGCCCATATCTATAATTCCAGCACTAGGGAGGATGAAGCAGGGGGATCCAAAGTTTAAACCCAGCCTGGCCAACTTAGCAACTCAGTGAGACTCTGTCTCAATATAAATAGAAAAGGGGCTGGGCATCTGGCTCAGTGGTACAGCACCCAGGGTTTGACTCTCTCAGTATCCCCCCATAAATGTTTTATGAAACCTTATTTACCATGATACTTTCTGGTATTTTGAATTGTTTTTTTCTACTTTTTTTGGTACTGGGGATCAAACTCAGGACCTTTCAAGATGCCACTGAGCTAAATCCTCGACCTGTTTTTTTCTATTTTTTTTTTTGGTACCAGGGATCGAACTCTGGACCTTGCGCTTGTGAGGCAGGCACCGGAACCACTGAGCTAAATCCTCGGCCCTTTTTTTTCTACTTTTAATGCCAACTACAGGCTACCAATGATTTACACACCACAGGTTGTAAACTCTGTCAGCACAGAGTGCGAAGTTATTGCTGCGTATCACACAAAGGAATGATCACAATCAACAGCGACCTTTTGTGAGCGCTTACTACATGCCGGGCCTGGTGGCATGTGAGTCCATCGATCTGCCTCTTTATCCCCCAGCAATGCCATGAGCCAGGTGCTGCCACCAGCAGCCCCCAACTCACTGGAGGAGACAGGGAGGCACCAAGGAGAGGAAGCTACCCATGCTCAGCAGCCACTCAGCAGCAATCAGGGCTCTGCAGTCAGCCCTGGGGGTCAGGGACTGAAGGGGCTGGAAGAAACGAGCCCCTTGCACTACGATACTCGCAATGGGGCCAGCATGGGGCCTGTGTCCCCTCTTCCCCAGGGCCAGGACTAGGACCTACCTCAGGCTGCAGCAGTCCAAGCAGCTGGGCCCCTGAGAGGTCCAGGTCGCTGATAGTGGTCACGGTAACTGTGTGGTTGGGGTGGTCGTACTGCATTGACTCGGTCTTGGCCGTCACCATGTGGTCCAGCTCATCTGCCTCCTCTGCAGGATGGGCAGAGATCAGGTCTCAGCCCCAACATAAGCAACCAGGCTCCATCCAGGCATGGTGGTGCACGCCTGTAATCCCAGCACTCGGGAGGCTGAGGCAAAAGGATTGCTGAGTTCCAGGCCAGCCTGGGCTACATAGTGAGTTTAGGGACAGCCTGAACTACAATGGGAGACCCTGCCTTAAAAAAAACAAAACAAAACAAAAAAACCCAACCAAACAAGGCTCCAGCCTCCCCCGAGCCTTGGAGAGCAAACTGAGTAACACTGGGAACTAATGCTTCCTTGACTTCTACTCTCAGTCCTTTCAGTCCTCAAAAACTGAGCTCTCTAGCTGGGCATAGTGGCATACAGCTATAATCCCAGCTAGGTATTTGGAAGGCTGAGGCAGGAAGATCTCAGGTGTGAGCCCAGCCTGAGCAGTTTGACAACTTAGTGAGACCCTGTTTCAAAATACA